TTCCACTAGAGACTCTATAGCTTTCAAAGCTATTCATATACATTCATTTCCAACAATCCCCCACTTGAATAGTTTTGAAACTATCTCTGAGCATCAACAGTTCCATAAGATCGGGCATAAGCTAAGGTATCGCGAAGATTTGAACCTTAGCGTAGTGGTTACACTTCCGATTTCATAAGGGTGACTCGTAGTCTTGAACCCTATCTCAGACAGTGTAGCACACCGGATCTTTTCATTGAGTTGTGTTCTCTTCATAGCCCGTGCGTTTATGGCCATGCACGTTACCCTGGTTTAGTGAACGCTCTAGCAACTTTGTGCCTCCAAAGTTCCATAGGGAGCGGCCCCACTCCCACATTCACATAGGTGAGTCTATCAAGAGTACCCCCAAAGTAAAGTACTCCACCCCACATAGGGTATAGATCTCATTAAGAGTTATTAACTCAACCTCCATTGCTTTGGGATTCATGCTTCACTATGCATGAACTTTTCGCATACTACTCATGACTTGTTATTACCCATTGAACCCATTTCTTGGGATCTCCAGTCTATTGGGTCGGGTTACCATCACTTGTAGTCCGTGGTTCGGTAGGCATAAGTCCCATACCCTTGGCGGTATTCTGGACTTTCTCTCTAGGTAATCCTTTCGTCAAAGGATCAGCTAGATTCTGTTCGGATCTTATATGATCCACCCTCACTGCTCCTATCGTTAGGAGTTCTCTTACAGTACTGTGCTTACGACGAATCTGTCGTTTCTTTCCGTTATAGAACCGGTTCTCAACTTTAGCGATAGCTGCGGTACTATCACAATGGATCAATATCGGAGGGACCGGTCTTTCCCATAGGGGAATCTCTGACAACAATCCTCTCAACCAACTTGCTTCTTCACTAGCCGTTGCTAGTGCTATCATCTCTGATTCCATAGTTGATTGAGCTAGGATTGTTTGTTTCTTTGACTTCCAAGACACAGCTCCACCAGCGATGTTGAAAACATACCCGCTGGTTGCCTTGGAGTCATCTGATAGGGTATTCCAATCCGCATCACTATACCCTTCTAGTACAGCAGGAAACCTTTGATAATGTATACCAAGGTTTGCTGTTCTCTTGAGGTATCTCATGACCCTCTCTATAGCATTCCAATGCTCTCTACTAGGACAGCTGTTAAACCTGCCAAGCAATCCCACGACATATGCAATGTCTGGTCGAGTGTAATCCGCAGCATAACGGAGACTGCCAATGATGCTAGCATATTCTGATTGTCTTACACTGTCTCCAGTGTTCTTAAATAGCTTTACACTAGCATCATACGGAGTACACGCAGGTTTACAGTCGAAATAGTTATACTTCTTCAAGATCTTCTCTATGTAGCTAGATTGATCTAGAGAATAACCATTTGCTGTTCTAGTTATCTGGATTCCAAGCATAAACTTTGCTTCTCCCAGATCTTTCACTTCAAAGCTCTCTTTTAACATGGCTTTTGCTTCATTGACCACGTGAATATTTGTACCAAATATCAACATGTCATCTACATACAAACATATGATAGTACAAGTGTTATTTTCTGTCTTGCAGTAAATACACTTGTCACTTTCATTCACCTTAAAGCCATGTGAGAGAACGAGAGTGTCAAACTTCTCATGCCACTGTTTTGGAGCCTGTTTCAAACCATATAATGATTTGTCTAACTTACAGAATTTCGAGGCATGTTCGGGGATAACAAACCCTTCTGGTTGTTCCATATAGATTTCTTCATCTAGATCACCGTTCAAAAAAGCGGTCTTAACATCCATTTGGTGTACCACGAGATTGTTCAAGGCAGCAAGAGCAATCATTACACGAATGGATGTTATTCTAGATACTGGTGAATAGGTATCGAAGAAATCTATATTCTCTCTCTGCCTGTAGCCCTTAACTACTAGGCGAGCTCGGAACCTTTCGATTGCACCATCAGGTTTCCGTTTCGTTTTTAGAACCCATTTATTACCTAAGACTTTGCAGCCAGGAGGTAAGTCTGTTAGATGCCAAGTCTTATTAGCTTCTAACGATTCCATTTCATCTATAACGGCCTCATTCCAAAAATCTGCATCTACGGAAGTTAATGCTTCCTGCAAACTTTTTGGATCTTCGAGGGTGAATACTGTAGTAAAGTCATCACCAAAATCTTTAGAGATTCTAGCTCTTTTACTTCTTCTGAGTTCATCCTCAGAACCAACACCCCCACTAGTTCCGTTATCTCTAATAGAGGGTAGTACATTCCCCCCACTATTTCTCGTTTTAAATGGAAATCGTGTCTCAAAGAAATCAGCATCAATGGATTCTATTATAGTACGAGCATTCAAATCATAGAATCTATATGCCTTACTATTGGCCGCATAGCCAACGAAGACACATTCATATGCTCGACTAGCCAATTTAATCCTCTTAGGATCCGGAATTCTTACGTAGGCCAAACAGCCCCACGTTCTTAAATAGGACAGATTAGGTGGCTTATTCTTCAAGATCTCATAGGGTGATTCTTTTCTATTTGTTTTTGGAAGACGGTTTAGCACATAGCAAACTGTCAACAAAATATCACCCCACCAAGAAGAAGCAGCTCCAGAATTGAGCATAATAGCCACGACTAATTCTGTAAACGTCCTATTTTTCCGCTCAGCTTTACCATTCATTTCTGGTGAATATGGTGCCGTGGTTTCATGAATGATACCATGTGAGCTATAGAATTCCTTGAAGGGATTAGAGTCATACTCTGATCCTCTATCACTCCTAAGTCTTTTTATCTTTCGATTGCACTGATTTTCAAATTCAACCACAAATACCTTGAACATATCAAGGGCTTCACTTTTGTTTTTCATCAAATAAACAAAGCAATAATCAGAGCAATCATCTATGAAAGTGATAAAGTATCTCTTGCCAGACCTAGTTAACGTCCCATCTAGTTCACAAATATCAGAATGAATAAGATCTAAGGGTTCTGATTCTCTACTCACAGATTTATGGGGCGTTTTCGTTATTTTAGCTTGGCTACAGAAATCACATTTATCAAATTCATTCATTGAGAGTTTAGGGATATGCCCTAGCTTGCTTAAATTCTTCACAATTCGTGTGTTCACATGACAAAGACGAGCATGCCAAACATTCAAATCACACACCATGTAAACTGAAGAATTCATCTTATTAATTTCGACATTCAACTTGAACATCCCATTACATGCATATCCCTTTCCCACAAAACTCCCATTCTTAGTAAGGGTATACAAGTCTGCCCCAATAGTTTGATTAAACCCAGCCTTATTAAGAAGATATCCAGAAACAAGATTCTTCCTTATCTCTGGAGTGTGCAACACATCCTTGAGCACCATCTTCTTCCCAGAGGTGAAGTTCAGCTCCACTTCACCAGAACCAGCAACCATAGTAGTGTGGGTAGTCCCCAACAATACTTTCTTGTCAGCAGGTGCTTCTGTGTATGTTTTGAACATAGCACGATTGTTGCATACATGCTTCGATGCACCTGTATCCAGCCACCATCCTTCTGAGTCACCGGTGAGGTTAACTTCAGCAATCATATCTGTGATCATGGCTATCAAATCCTCTTCTGTCAAGTTAACCCTGGCCGCAGCGGCAGGGTTTTGCTTGTTCCGGCACTTCTTTGCCATATGACCCGGTTTTCCACAGTTATAGCAGATAAACGGTGGGTCATTCTTAGAGGTTTGGGCCATGACCCTTTGGTTACCTCGAGAGGCACCATTCTGGTGGGGGCGGACCTGCTGGTTCTTACTCTTAAACCCTTTCTGGTTAGGTTTAAGAGCTCTAGGGGTGGGTCGTTTAGCAGTGACGACCATCACCTCTTCTTTCATATCCTGCTTGCGGGACTCTTCCTCAATCCTTAGGCGAGTAATCAAGCTTTCCAGTGAAAATTCTTTGGTTTTGTGCCTAAGCATATTCTTAAAATCTTTCCACGAAGGGGGCAGCTTATCAATAATGCAAGCAACTTGAAATTGATCGTCCAGAGGCATACCTTCAGAGACGATCTCATGAGCTATTTTCTGAAGTTCGTGGGACTGAACTTCGACGGACTTGTCATCCACCATCTGGTAGCGCAGGTAGCGGCTGACAGCATACTTCTTAGCTCCAGCCTCCTCCGTGTCGTACTTCTTTTGAAGCGCATCCCAGATCATCATCGCGGTGTTCTTACTGTCCGCATAGTAGTCGTACAGATCGTCTGCCAGGCCGTTGAGGATGTAGTTCTTGCACAGGAAGTCATGCTCCCTTTCCCTGGCAGAAGCAGCCCTCTCCTCATCGGTCGCTTCTTCCGGCAGCTCGACAGGCATGCTGGTGAGGCAGTGGGCCAGCTTCTTGGTTGTCAAGTAGAACTCCATCTTTTGCCTCCAGCGACGGAAGTTGACCCCAACGAAGCGAAAGGGTCGATTGATATCGACAGCACCAGATCCGGCCATGTTGTTCTGTTCAGTCGACATAGCAGCAGTCGAACGTCTTAAAATTGTTAGGAACAGAACAACAAAAGGAACGAGGTTACCGAATCTGGAGCTGAGTCGCGGACTAGGTCGCTTTCTTTAAGACGTTCGCGGCACTGCCTTCGATGCGCACGGCAGACTATCAACCGGTCGTCTCCAGGATAAAACAGCTCCTCTCAATACTCGCGGTTTTGTGCGAAAACCGAAGCTCTCTAAACACTCTCTCTATTGTGTTTCTGCTCGTTGTGATGATCTTTAGAGGGGCTGGGGAGGCGGCTATTTATAGGAGCCGAACCCCTAGGAATATACCCTCTTGCTTGGGGAATAAGTCGGATTAATTAAGGAAGATAATTACTTCCTTAATTAAAACCGTCGGTTAAGATAAACCCGGAGGGATTATCCTTCGAATATTCCGTTTTAGTCGATTATCCTTAGGAATATACCTCAGAATAACAGATTAATAATTAAATAATTAATTTCGTTCGGAATTTCTCCAAAAATATATATATAGTCTCAAGTGAACCAACCAACCAACCAACCGACCGACCGAGGTCGGACGGACGGCGCGCGCGCGCGCGTGTGTGTGGTGGTCCATTAGGTCCTCCCTCTCCCACAAAAGTGGGTCACCCCAAGGGGCATGCCCTTGGGAGAGAGGCTCCTATCTTTATACACATTTCACCAAGTAAAACTACCAATGTGGTAGTTTTTTCCACTAGAGACTCTATAGCTTTCAAAGCTATTCATATACATTCATTTCCAACAGATCACAATCAACTCAATTTAATAATGTCAGCAGTAAAGGAGTAGTTCGCTTGAAATAAGAGTTTGGTTTACTGATATTATCATTAATCTGCAATATGAATATTCTATGTTCGAATCTCAAGTGACACTTGACAATCAAAATAAAACTACGGCACCCTCGTAATTAAAAAAAAATTGACGGGAGGTCGACAGAACAAAGTTAATTGAATAAAGAATATGAGACCAATATTCACTCACACTAACGTTGGTCAAAAATCGGTTGAACTCTTTAATTGATCAACCGTTCGTCTATAAAAAGTTGTCTATCATTCCTCCGAGAATCTATTTATCTATCTATAAATACACACTTTCTCCATTTGAACTTTGTTCAAATTTTGATGCATCCATGTCATCATCTTTTATATCCATTAAGATTTTTTCTTCCCATTTATTTTGATATCTCTTTTCTTTTTTCAGTTCATCTACTATTCTTAACGTGACCATATATATTTCTTTTCATGTCCAAATTCAAATATTTTTGTGCAAAAAAAGTAAAATTTTATGTGGAATGCACAATGATGTTAATTTTTATATATGTTGAAATAAAAAATTAGAAAGACATTAACATAAACATAAATTTACGTGTTATTCCCTTTAGAAAGACATGAACATAATCGTGTATTTACGAGTTATATTCAAATAATAACTATATTATATAAATGTTGGTGAATTCTATATCACAAAAATACAGGACCTTTTCATGTACCATCATAATTTACATAGGTGCATTCCTATTTACAAAATTAACTAACTATCTATATCGTAATACTGACATTTTCATTTGTATACATAACTATTATATATGTATAGTTTTTTTTTTTAATAATGATTATATGAATAGGTTATTCTATAGAAAAAGTTCCTTGAACGGATTTTAGTATAAAAAAAGTTATATCTTCCGCAAACGGGCTAGCTTCCTTTTTAATTTCATTTTTTTCTCACTTCCTCTACATTTCTCGTTACCCTTTTCTTCTCTCCCGCCATGGAAGAAGCACCCAGCAGCAAGCCCGCCACCACGAGCAACAAATCCCACAAGCACAACAATGGCAACAACAACGGCAACCAAACGGGCGTGGTGATTGGAGGGTTTTTGGAGACGACCAAATCCGACAGGTCGGTGTGGCTCATGAAATGCCCTTCTCTCGTCTCTCGCTCCCTCCGCTCGCCCTTCCCCGATGATCCTTCACGCCCCGTCGCCAAAGTCGTCGTCTCCGTCGACCCTCTCAACTCCAACGACGACGAATCTTCTACCCAGGTTCATACATTCCCCCCTCCCTCGCTTTTCACGCATTCGTTCGCCGCTATCTGTTGAGTGATTTTGTCACCTGTACTGCAAACCCTTGGAATTTTCTCATGTTCTTCTGGTGTTAGCTGTATGATTTCTAGGGATTGGACATATGGTGAATGCAATTCCTTTTAGTGTAATTGGGTACCAATGTGACGCAATTGACTCTGAAATTTTGCCCCAATTTTGGTTTTGACCATGCCCTGCATGCATCCCATGGTAACAACACTTATGAAACATATGTTTGTTTTCGTGAAATGCTGTTCAGTTCACCATGGAACTGGCTGCCACGGAATCGGGAGATGCACCGAAATCATACATTTTGGATATGTCCAAGGACTTCGTTCCAATGTCTGTATTTGCTGAGTCGCCTCAAGGTTAGTGTTCTTGTCTTTGCACACTCCTGGTTGGTTTGAAGTTTAATAAGTGTTTGGAGAGAATGATGATTGATTCTATGGATGGTTAGGGTGATTGGGTGTGTGTGCCCCGTTTTGTCGCAGTCTGAAATTGTTTTGTTTGTTGAGATTGCTTTACTCTTCTAGAGGTATGACCTTGGTCTTGATGTGTTCTAACTTCTAATAGTTCACATGGTCAATGGCCTATATTGTGTACAGGTCTTTCAGGTAGTAGGAAATTGTTTGTTGATTTTGTGTATTTGTTTGCCTACCACCATTGGGTTCAGATTCTTGCTTTGAGAAAATATTAACAAATAGAATCTACCAAGTCAACACTGACTTCCGCACTATTACTTCCTATTAGTATAGTGGTAGGTTTGTACTATTTAAGGTTTCTGGAGATAATTCATCATATTACACTTTGGGAGGGAAATATGATAACCAACGAACCACTGACATTATAAGCGTGCGAGAACTTAGATACAAGTGCATCAGCATGTCATCATTCTACCGTTTCACATCCTCCGGTTATCAACAGTAGGCGTTGTGCATCTGCAGAATTTTGTACGAACTACTTGTTGCTAGATGGTTTTGTGAACTTTAAGGACAGTTAAACATGAATTCTTCAAACTCTTTACTGTATTATGTGTACTGTTTCTCAGGAAAGGTCTTTGTGGAGGGGAAAATACTGAACAAATTTGACGTGAAGCCGCATACTGAGAGTCTTGAAAAATATGGGAAACTTTGTCGTGAGAGGACAAAGAAGTATATGACCAGGAATAGGCAAATCCAGGTCATCTTTCTACATGGAAGCTTCGTTTTGCTACCAAATAACGTCCTCTCTTTTGCTTTGAACCCTTCTTTGATTTTCATTTCAGGTCATTGATAATGACAAAGGAACTCACATGAGGCCTATGCCCGGGATGATGACAACCTCTTTTACTGTGCATGTATCTAACTTCTCTTTTTGCGCTTTGACATTTGTAACTAAGATTGTGTTTCAATGGTGTTGTCTGACCTGAGGGCATTCTCTAGCTTTTCCAGTTTTGCACATGGGAGACTGGATAAGAAAAACTTGTCTTTTCATTTTGTGATAGGAAAAGAAGAAGCCGCCAGCCAAAGCATCTGAAACTAAAAGGACAAGAAGGGACCGTGGAGAGATGGAAGATATTATGTTCAAGCTATTTGAGAGGCAACCAAATTGGACTTTGAGACAACTTATTCAAGAAACTGATCAGCCTGAGGTATGTTTTACCTTTTGCTTCCTTTTCCCTTTGGTTCATGCCGCACCATGGATTGAATGATCCTGGTGCCCTTCTCTTCACGTACAGAACACTTGTAAGATTGAGTAAACTGCAATAGACCACCACGGCATTGGTGTTGAATGTGTCTTTCCTGGTCTTCTGATGATACACCCCTGTGGAATCAACCAAAGTTTGTGTTCTTGGTTTCTCGGTTTTCAATCTCTCCTTCTCTTTCTTGCAGCTATTTCTGAAGGACATACTGAAGGAGCTCTGCGTGTACAACAATAAGGGAAGCAATCAAGGATCATATGAGCTGAAGCCAGAATACAAGAAATCAAGTGAGCCAGATCCAGCTACTTGAAGGAAAAAACTCTCAAGTGCTGAGAATGGGAATTTCATAATAACACCGATTCCCAGTGCTTCCGTTAGCTGCAGGTTAACTTATTCTTGGATGGCTTAGTTCATGTAAAGGCTCCAGTGCCAGGTTAGGACGTAGTAGGGCCTTGAATGGGACCTAACCTGGGGCGTCTTTTCCGCTAATTATTTGTTGCTGCATCAACATGAATTTAGAAATAGAGTAGGTTTAACCAGGTAAGTGATCGGTTGAAGTCCGATTCCTAATGGACGGAGGGCCAATTTGTGTCCTCAGTGATTACATTGAACTGCCATCGATAGAACTGTAAATAATAATTCATGAAAGAGCAGGTTGCATCTTCCTTTCTTTCTTCCTCCTTATTCCACTTATGTACAGAGTTGTATCATGTGAGTCTGTTACCATACCTTCAGAAACATTGTTGCCTGGATCTGTTGTCTGTGATTTAGCAGCCTCGGAAAATGGCAGGCCATTTACATCTTTCTATACATGAATCCTATATGGCCACTTTCAACTCTTGGGGATCAACAAAGGACCGACTGGTTCTTTGAGTGGAATTTGTGAACTGTGACAGGTGATGTTTGTGAGTGAGTAATTATGTTCTTGGATGCCATTGACATGGTATACAGTTCTTCCAGGGAAACAAAATTATAATAGTGCAGTGCAGTGCAGTTACTTTGATTGATATGCTGTGAGGCACTCAGCAAATGGAGGGTTTTAATTAGTTGTACCAAACTTTAGCATTTGATTTCTGCTGCAGATATGCTGTTGTCTGTGTGGTGTGGATAGCAGCAGCATATGAGTGCACTGCAGGATTTGGTAGGTGGGCTTGATTGCTACAATCACCTCGTTTTTTATTTGCATTTGGCAAATCAAATAAATGGCAAGTAAAGGTCTCGACATCTTAGAATGCTTCCAGAAGCGGGCCATGCTGCTGAAAACGAATGCTCCACGTGAAAAAAAATGGTTGCTCCGAATTTGTTAATAACGAAATCATGGTTTTGCTTAGTTAATGATTTGAGTGAGTGGTAAATGAGATAGACGTAGATACGTGTTTATATCTAATGTGTTTATATCTAATCTGCTTTTTTAATATATTTATACGTGTTTATATCTAATGTGTTTATATCTAATCTGCTTTTTTAATATATTTATAACGTATTCGAGATTATCTCGTTCGTTAGTGTGAAACTCAACTTTGGTTCCTCCAACACCAGGACCATTTAGTGCCTACTTAATTGTGAGCAACTGCCCACCACTAGTCTATAGAGTAAGTGAGCAACAAAACCAGTTGAGATGAGAATATACCTAACCCATTTATATTGGATGGCCATTGACCAACTTTGCAGGGTTTTATGGATTAGGTCCATGTGGTTGCTAATTGCTATATGCTCCATTTTTTCTTGAAACAACTTTTAGGTTATTGTGTTGTTTACTGTAGTTTTGACCAAGTTGTATCAGTCTAGTTATTTTGCTAACGGCATAAGTTGTTAGTATATACTAACTAATATCTAAAATGTATGAACAGATATACAAGTCTGCTGATTTTTCTAAAGTATCTATATAGCACAGACTAGTATTCAAAACAATACAAACTAGTATCCAGTCTCCAGATAGCATATACAAACTAATATCCACAATCAACCAACTAGTATTCAATATGGATACTTTTATGTGTTATCTGGATACTTTTATATGTTATCTGGATACTAATTATGTATGTATGGATACTATTCTGTGTTGTCTAGATATTAGTTTGTGAATTTGGGATAATAGTTGATTCATGGTGGATATCAATTAGCTAACCTTGAATACTAGTCTGTGATCTCTAGATATTTTAGTACTTGGATACTAGTTCATGTATTTTGGATATCAGTTAGTATCTGCTAACGAATCTTCAAGTTAGCAGACTAACTTTCCCCAAGTTGTAGTAGTACTCAATTCCCTTCCAAATCCAATTCACCCCCTCTCTACTATCAATACAGGAATTAGAGTGCAAAATGATACTTCTCAATTAACCAGTTAGTTCCAATAATCGAGTTGTAATGACGATATCAATAGTTGAGTCGAGTGCAAGGTTGTCAACCCGCGGGTCGACCCGCTTTGACCTTGGCCCGGTGGGAAAAATGGGTCACACGCACCTGTCGGGTCGACCGCTACAAGGTACCGGGTTGGAGGTCAAATTGTGTCATTTTTTTCTTTGGTTTGCGAAATGCGCATATTTTCCGATTTTTCTTTTTGCCTAACTCAATCTTTGGAATCCTAAGTTGAACATTTGAATACTGATGTTATATAAGTGTGTGTGAATTTTCACTATATGTGTGATCTAAGTACGACATGTTATTTTGGTGTAATATTATATGTTATAACTCATATGTTAGATGATATTTCATATAACTTATCAGGATAAGTACAATATAATTACTCTTTTCATATTTACAGGCTAAATCGGGTGCCCATTAACCCTTAACCCACTAGCTCGACCGGGTCCGGGTCAGCCCACGGGTTGACAACCTTGGTCGAGTGTTAAAGGAATAGGAGGTTCATATATATGGGTTTTATTTGTCAAAGATATTCCCATATATATGCTTACTCGGCTATGAGTAAGAAGAGAATATGTTACCGAAAATCAGCTATACTGTGAAAACGGGATCGTATGGCAATTAAAATTCGATCGCAAACTATAATTCTAAAAAGACTTTTGTATGTTTTTTTAAAAGATATAATAATAAATCCTTTTTTTAAATGAGATTAAAACAATAAATTCCAAATGCATTGGAAAAGAAGGAAATTTATAATCTGGAGAAAAGATTAAAAATAACAGGCAAGGTCCATGAAATAAAAGGGCACAAAGACGAGTAGGATTAGGTTAGGATGGGCCAATGGAATAGCGTTAAAAAATAAACAAATAATTAAAGGGAAAAAAAGAGCATTTATCATTGGCACTTTCTCCCTCGTTGCCATCGCTGACCAAACCCAAAACCATATTAACAGATACGACCATTTTGCCCCAATTCCCAATTCCAAAGGATTTGGACCGAACGCAGTTCCTCCCCGCTAGACGAAGAAGAGTCACCAGGCGTGTGCTAAGCACGGCAGCTGTTTCTTCTTCCCTTCCTCTAAGTCCGACCTCTGTTCTCTCTTTTAACCAGATCGATACATTTGGGAGAGAGGAGGAATCTAGCCCTTCTTTGTTTTCACATCTCTACCACCTAATCCCTCTTTTCATATTCCTTGCTTCGTCTCCTCTTTTTCATCGCCACATTCCTCTCTCTCTCTCTCTCTCTCTCTCTCTCTCTCTCTCTCTCTCTGTCCCTCGCCGGTCCAAATTCCTGTTCCCCTATTCCGGGTTTCATTCAATTGTAAGGTATGTATTCATCGACTTGTGCTGTCAGTTTCGCACCCGCTACCGACTTGATTGCTTCCCCTCTTGTAATTATAAGAAATGGGATTTACGCAACTTTCGTTTCTGAGATCCCTGGCTTGCTCTTGGTTTCTGGGTTTTGCTGGGTTTTAATTATCTGTATAGCTTTGATGGATTCTGTATGTCCGTCTACTGGCTAAGGGTATTGACCAATTGAGCTTAATTGATTCACTTCTTGGGTAAAGTTCAGAAATGGTATGATAAACCATTTATCAATAACTTTCGGAAATGATATGATAAACCAGAAATGGATGGTTTAAGGCTGCCCAGTTATCAATAACTTTACAAGTTGATTCCACTTATTTGCTCGGTTAGAACTTTTTCTGTGATGTAAGCTTGTCTCTTTCTGTTATTCTCAGCGACTGTGTTGTCGCCTGTCTTTTGCAGCAATTGCCTTATCTATTTTGGAATTTCTCTTTATAGATTCTAAGAGTTGTGCTGTGATCTGGTCAAGGTTCTCTGTGCTTGTAATTTGTATGCCACTCTATGACTTATGGTTACATCTTACCTAGTTGTGGTAGTATAAGCATCAGTAGTTCGCATACAGAATTACAGATCTTCTATCCTTGTATGCATAAAATTGCGCAAAGTTTTCAGCTTTGGAAAGATTAGTTGCACTTGCAGGCTTTGCTTCTTGTGTTCATTAGCCTGTTGTGTACCTTAAGTTTGATGCTTAAAGAATTGTCAACTTGTGGTGTCATGGTTGATGTTATTACTCACAACCCTGTTGAAGGCATATGTAGTAAAAGCTTTTCCACTTTTATGCAGGTAGCTTTCCGGCAGTAAGATGGACTTCTTATTCAGAGGCTTAAACGAGGACCCTTCCCCGGTGGATATGCTTAGGTGTCCATTTTTGAGAAATATCAATGAGCCAACTAATTTTTCCTTCTCCTCAGCCATGCCCTTCCCTATGCCTGTAAGTTGTCTATTGCCAATGCCTATAATTTCTCCCGTCTTTCTTGGTCACTGATTGACACGAGGATCTTCTTCAAAGTTGCAATCTTTAACTCTTTACCTGACTTCTTTTCCAGGTGCGCTCTGGCAAAGGTCCTATTTTTGAAGATGGCCCCAATTTTGATTCGACATTCAGACTATTCCATGGACAAGATGGAGTAGTCCCACTGTCCGAAAGATCATTCCCAGTTTCAGACAGAATTGAGACCCACCTGCAAACCCGTCCTGAGTTTAACCCATTAGCTGCAAAGGCAGCCACGATCAGTCTCTCATCTTTTGGCCCTGGTGGACCCTTTAGCTTCGATGCCTTCTCTAAGAAGTGGAACAACAGTCAGAGCAAGAAAAACTCCAAATCATCCAAAAAAGGCTCACAGGTATATGCATCTCAAGTGGTTTTTCTTTTTGCACCATCCACTTGTGATAAGGATGAATGCATCGTGAAATCTCCAATTGACACCTCTTTGTGACCATTTATTTTCAGGGAGGAAACTCAGAGCATGAGTCAATGAGCAACGAATGGCTGCAAAATGGGAACTGTCCGATAGCAAAGTCATATCGAGCAGTCGGCAACGTGTTACCACTTGTTGCCAAAGCATTTCAGCCACCACCTGGGGTTAAAATCAGGTGCCCGCCTGCAATTGTTGCTGCTAGAGCAGCTATAGCACGTACCGCCTTTGCCAAGAATCTTAGGCCGCAACCTTTGTCCTCAAAAGTACTGGTGATTGGGATGCTAGGCATGGCTGCAAATGTCCCCCTGGGAGTATGGAGGGAACACACTAAGAAATTCTCTCTCTCGTGGTTTACAGCCGTCCATGCTGCAGTTCCCTTCCTAGGCATGCTCAGGAAATCCGTGCTGATGCCCAAATCAGCCATGGCTTTCACCATCGCAGCATCGATATTAGGCCAAGTGATTGGTTCCAGGGCAGAACGATACCGCCTGAAGGCAAAGGCCAAAGCTGGGGAGGAGATCACTTTAGTCGAAACTCGTGTGCATCACTCTCCATCACCCATACACCAACAACCCATTGCTGTGAAAACTGGGCACGGTGGCAATCTGATGGAGTATCCAGTCGCCATCCATGGAGCTGGCGCTCCTTCTCCAACTGCAAATGTGCTCTGCTAATTCATCACCTCTATCTCAGTGCTTGTTGTTGTTAAGACTTCCATCATCTTTATCCACTTGTAATTGCAGCAGAAATGCTGTTTGGTTCGTTCGATTTGTGTATTTAATGACTGGCTGTCATCTTGGTTGTGAAAGACATGATATTGGCGGAGTTTGAGGAAATGAATAATAATTGATGGGTTTGTATTATCTTCAAGATAAATGGTGCTGCAGCTGCCTCTTTCCTTTGATGAAATGAAGCTTGCCTGCTGCCAGAGTGGTTGAACTGTCAAATACTCAAATGTTAGGTAACAACCAACTTTGCTGAAATTGTCAACTTAAACGTGCCTTTCGTGGAATAATAACATAATAATACTACGACTCGCTTTTGATTTGGAAATATTGTTAGTGGAAACCCACTCTGTTCCAATATTGAGACTTTGCTATCTGCTGCTGGCCAAGTTTTCGTTTCCAACTCGGTTAGTCTCAATTCTCCAAATTGGATATGGTCACCCCGGTTAGACCGTTACGTTTTCCTCACCACGGACCGAACCGAAACCGCTGTTTCAGCGTAAAAGATGAGTCTTTTTACTGTGTTATTCGAGGACGGTAAAACAACGCTGTCGTTTAACTTGAAATAAGAATTCTCCCTCCGTCTTCCGTAGCCTGCGAGCGACTAAAGGCAAAAGCGAAAACAGAACACTCTTTTACTGGCCGTCCTTCCCTGCCGGCGGTTCACCGTTCCGATGTCTCGGACGTTCGGGATCCCTTGGCCGGAACTTAACGACGGCTTGTTCTACAACGACGTCGTTCCTTCCCCCCATTCAGGTCCATCTCTGTCCCCCACTTGTCTCAAGGAATTTAACTGTTCATGTTCTCCTTCTTTGATTGATTGGGGAATTTGCAGGATCGAATCTCATAGACTTCTACTCTACCAAGTACAAGAATTCGGCTCCACTGAAAGGGTAAATGCCCCCTTCCCAAAATAACTCTCAAGTTCCCTTCTTTTTTTTTTCTTTCTTTCCGAAACGACCTCTTATTATTGCTAATAACTTCACAGTTGGTTGCAGAGAATTCACAATGGACAGGTGGGTTCCCTCTCCTGCCATTAAAGTTTGTGGCTTTAGCAAGAGATGCGAAAAGGGAATTTACCGGGAGAATGAGTGAATTGACATTGCTGTTCTGTGTGTGTATTATTTGCAGATAAAAGTTGATGGAGTTGTTGTTAAAGAACCCAACACTGTCCTCAGGTGTTTTCTTGCTGTCCATAACAAGTTAATGATGGATTTCATGTGCAGTATATTCTTGTCTTGATGTTTTGTTGACTGAGAAAAGTTCGTGTCTTTTTCTTTTCAGGGATGGTTCTGAGTTGATCTATCACAGGCTTCCATGGAGAGAACCGGATGCACCTTGGTCTTTAGAAGTACTATATGAAGATGATGATGATATGGTAAATATGACCTGCAAATGGTTGAATGATAGGTTAATATGTAATGGTTGGTTTCGCTTACAGAGGTTGGAAATGAATGCCGGTTGCTAATGCTATCTTCAGGTTGCTTTAAACAAGCCTTCTGGCTTGCAAGTCTTGCCGGGTGGACTGTTTCAGCAACGCACCGTTCTAACTCAACTCCAATGGTTGGCAAGCAACCAAAGCTCTTCTGCTACAGCTAGCCAGGGATCGCATCCTGTTCCTGTGCACCGCCTGGGGAGAGGCACCTCTGGTAAAGTCTGATACCAATCCCTACTCAATTCAATTTCGGGTACTTGTAACGTGTTGATGAAGCCTATGGCTCCATGTTCAGTTGCTTTTTTCTTGCTTCGGCTATATCATGAATTGTTGGCTTATCCGTCTTCCTCCTGACACCTGAGCTATGTTGAGGCTTACAAACTGCTTCTTCTCACTTCTAGGAATATTGCTCTGTGCGAAGTCCAAGCATGCGAAAACTCAACTTGCTGCATATTTCGCAGAAGGGACATCTCTCGTTGGAGGCAACAGGTCGGTCTGGAACTTCTGTTTTGAACTTTATGGCCCTTGATCACTCGAGTTAAGATCAGGCGTCATGATGCGAGGAATAAGTTACGATTTGAAGTTACAACTGGTGGGGATTTTATGAGATCGTTTAAGAGTCTCATGGAGAGTTTTGTTAGAGAATGTCATGGAGTTAGTGTTCTGTTTTTGAACTGCTAGGAAGAGTATGGAGGCCATAGTGTTGAGATTATCTAACACAACATCCTCGAATGTCTGCTTCTTCTTATCCATGGTCACACCAGCTTAGAGCCTGTCAAAGGAAGGAAAATCTCGAAGATATACAGAGCCCTAGTTGATGGAATACTAAGAGAGGATACGGTAAGAAATCAAGTCAGATGAGTGCATTTATTTGATGTAGTTTCTTCAGTACGAGCAATATAAAAGATGTCCATCATCACTAGTTTCACGTTTCAGATTCATTTCTAGTTTCGGTGTCATTATTCTAGGTTGTGATCAGGCAACCAATTGGGACTGTGCGTTATCCTGGTGTGGCTAAAGGGCTCTACGTTGCTTCAGCCTCAGGTTATTATAATAACCGGTCATATCAGTGTCTCTTTACTCTCAGACCCTGGGTTTTCCACTGCTGGCTCTGACTGTGCTACTCTTGATAAAACTAGGGAAACCTGCATTGAGCCAAGTTCGGGTGCTTGAGAGAGATTTACAAAGAAACTGCACATTAGTCGAGGTATGCTGTTCTCTTGGTTCATCTTCTGCAATCTGTTGCTTCTTGTCCTTTTCCAATGTAGTAGTCACATAATGAAACACGGTTCGGCACTAAATCTGGGCATGGGTAGGAGAGGAAATAAAAATTACCAAAAGATCAATTTGTCATGTGATGCTCCTTGACAATTTTTAAGTCATTCACAGGTGAAGATCGAGTCAGGACGGCCACATCAAATTCGCATTCACCTTTCATTCATAGGGCATCCTTTAGTTGGTAAAAGATTGGAACGTTGATTTAAATTGCTGAAGTGGTTGCATTTCGTTCCCCTGATACTGAATGATAGCACAATTCTGAATGCGTTTTACATGGATTCTTTGATAAGGTGATCCTCTCTATGTTGCTGGAGGGAAGCCGAGATGTCTTGATTCTGAAATAGTAGATGCAAGTTTCGCGCCAGACGGGTACAAGAGTCTGAACCACTATTCTAGCTCGCCTATTTTCATTTGATCATCCAAGTTGTTGTGCTGAAAGCTGTTATTGTAGGGGTTACGAAAAACCTAACAAGCCGGTGCCTGGAGACTGCGGATACTACTTGCATGCACATCGACTGATTATTACACACCCATCCACTTGTGAGGTAAGAAATGTTGAGCAATCTTCTTAGCGTGAGGAACATTCTTCGAGAGTTCCATTTCAGTTGTTAACAAAAAAACTCAAAAGCGAGAATGTATGCTTTGAATTTTCCCAGGAGATACACATCACAGCAACTCTTCCACCCATCCTACGAACACAAGCAGAGTCCCAAGTCGCAGAAGCCTAATATCTCTCTTTTTTTTTTTTTTTTGGTGAAAGAAGCCTAATATCTCGAACTAGTCTCCTGTCTGCAGATTTTTTTTCAGTCGACTTGCTAGCTGTGCAAGCTGCTCTGGTATGGTTTTGTTGATAGTACTTTGAGCATATGGATTTTAGTAGAATAGGAAATATGTACCAAAAGGAGGCAGTTACTTCCACAAGAAAAGAAATCTGCAGTCACATGATCATTACGTTAACATTCTAACGAAGTTAGGAGTAGGCAGTCAGAACTGGAGAGAGACAGAAAGAAAGCTAAACGATGGAAGGGGCTATCACTGATCAATCCCAACCTCTTTTTTTGGGCACATTATTTTCTGTATTCTTCATCAAATACAACAAATACAAAAGGGTTGGCCTGAAAATGTTACAAACGCTCCTTCCCTACTTAAATTACTCTATTTTTTAACCTTTTTCTGACGGATTAGAGAAACCATCCGTCCCCTCAGTCCCCTATCACTGCATTAATTAAACAATTACAAAAACTATGATACAGGGCGCGGCAACAAAAACACTTTCATTTGCCACTAGGCTCTTCCCTTTAAGGAGCTGGCTGGCAGGCCGACCTCTTCTTCACTATCTCAGCACATCCCCCTTGCCTCTCCAACTACTACTAGTAGAATCATCCTGCCTCTTCACATTTATCGTCCCTCCATTTGAGGAACCACCAAATTGATGATCAGCCTTGGCAAAGTGCATCTTAATGGCCGTCACAGGATCTGACACAGCCTGACGAATAACACTACTGCTTCCACCTCTAACTGCTGCAATGCTACTCATTCCCATTCCTACTGCTGCCGCCATTCCATGCTGCTGTAGACTCGAAATTGAATCGAACACAAATGGTGGCTGCAGTTTGTTGGTAGCATCATGATGACTCATGTACCTCTGGAAATCCAGCAGCGCGTTACTGCTGCTGTTGCTGCTTACATCCTTTTGAGGGAAACCAGGTAAGCCATTCATACTTCGTTGTTCACTGTTCTTAGCTACGACAGCATGCAATGCTGCTGCAGGATCAATCTTCGGTGATGAGGAAACCCCTGGGTAATTGCTAAATGCAGCAGGATACTTGGCCAGCAAGATGGCAGAATCAGGCAACGATGTCAGCCCAGTCTGTATTCTGCTCCCATCCCAAAAACCATAACTCCTCATTGGAACACTATTCTCCATCAACCCTCCTGCACCACATTTGTTCTGATCAAAATTCAGCAAACTCGCCAGATTCCCTGCATCTGATGAACTGGGATTTGGATGGCCAGTAAATTTAAAGGTAGATGAGCTGCTGCAGCTGCTGCTTGTCTTCACAGGGAGGGTGCTGCCATTTTCATCATGCCCATGTGCTTCAGGAGGATGGTCTGGCTTCTTCTGTGACGATGACAAAGGAGTACTTAGTATTTTACCGAATAGTTTAACATCACCATTCCTGCATGGCTTCTCCACTTCTGACGAGTTTTGAGGCTGCTCACTTGCTCGTTCAGAATGTTGGCTGGAGTTCTGAAGGTAGCAGGCCTCGGCCAACTGACTGGATATAATAATCTCTTCAGATTTTTTCAAGACTGCACCATTAGAAATAGGTCTGCAGGAAGTAACATCATTCAACTGCTTCGCGGGAATTTCAGCTGCGGAACCACTCTTAAGTTGAGCAGATCCCCAATGATTCAGCACAGGGTGGCCAAGCAAAGGCTGCACATGGCCATTTCCACAGATAGACCTCCCATCCTGTTTATCACTATTCTCATGAACATCAACACTGCCAGCTTGCTTTCCACAGAAAGTCCTGTTACCCGAGTCATGCACTTTGCCATACTGTGTTAGTACAACAGAGTCTGCACTAGACATGTTACTAGCTTCCAATGGGAAAGACATGACAGCCAGACTGGTCTCCACAGAACTCACTTCAGCTTGCTTTTGATTCATAATTTCAGTAACAGGACTTTCATTTGAGGAAGAGCCCATATCTAATGGAAGAGGGTGCGAGACTTCTTTGGTTACATTCAAATCTTGTATCAGACTGTTCTCAGATTTCCTGACAGGGACTTCTTTCCCAGCTTCAATTTCAGATACACAAACCAGGTTGGATGATGGACCAGAATTGGCTGCATCTCCAGTAAAGCAAGATTCTGAAAAGTCCTCTTTAACTACACACTCTCGTTCACCTTCTGTAACAACAGACTCCACTGAAACTTTCTGACCACTCATGAAAAGAGAATTATGATGAACAAACCCATTAATGACTTCACCATCAACAAGATGAGTTGACTGAAGCAAGTAATCTTTCGGGCCATTAGAAACCATAGCAGTATCCACAACCATTAAATGCTCATCTTCCGTAGCTTCTTCTCCAACATCGTTATCCCCCAATAAATTCAAATCATTTTCATGATTAACTCTAGCCTCACCATCACAAACATCGTCCTTCTCCCCAATAGCACACATAACTGGAGGCAGGTCCAGGTCCACCTTAGAAGGAAATTCTTTTGAACCATTCTCGATAGCACAAGCATCTTCCATGTCACTCCCACCTCCATTTGCATCCTCACTCAAAGATGGGCCAACTTTCACTCTTCCAGAATGAATCTGATCCAGCCCAAGACACTTTTTTGTTTTGCTAAAGAACACCTTGCACTGAACCTCAGACCTTGTCCGGACACCACGCGAGATACTTGCGAAATCCTTGCCATACAAAGAAACTGCCTGAACAAAAGCTGCTTTCTCCTCATCTGTCCAATGAGCAGTAGCATTCATTTCCCCACAGCTATCATCAGAACAAGTTTCCTCTTCATCCGCACTGTGGGTTACATCAGATAAAGAAGGACGTATATTCCTATTCCCACTCCCTCTCTTTCGGGCATTACGTTCATGGAATCCCTCACGACGATCTGCAGAAGTAGTAATGCAAGAGCTCATCGAACCACTAATACCAGCAAGCACATCAGCAGCAGCAGCAGCAGCAGTTTCTCTTTCATTGACCACGGCATCATAATTGTTTGACCTTTCTGATGAAATACTGTCTCCATCTCTCAATATTTTGCAATTATTACTATTATAGCCTCTGATTAAAATTTTAGTAGAATGCTTCTTTCTGCTAACCATGCCCCTGTCAGAATCAGTCATAACTGATGCAGTACCCAAAAGATCCAGTGGAGCTGCTGCGGTCATCTCACGATTCCACTTCTGACTTGATGACGACATCAAGTAGTTCGTCAATGACTTGGATTGCTTATTCTTCTTGATTTTTCTAAATGAATCAGACTTGTGATTTTTGTAATAAAACTCAACACAGTCTGCAGTCGTCTTGTGTTCAAGAAACGAAGCAATCTTCGTGAAATCCTTACCACAAGAAGCCAGCTTATCAATAAAGACTTCACGCTCCTCCTGAGTCCAGGGATTAATCATAGCTCTTTCCCTCTCAACTGCACAGGGATCTTCAACTAATCCATTGCCAGAAATAAACCTCGACGCTATTTTTTCCTTGTCATCCAAAATCTGTGCTGGCATTTTCAAGTTATCCCTGCAAACTTTGACATTGCAATCTGCAAGCAGCTTGCTAATGAATTTCAATGTCTCTGGAGTAGGAACCAGTCTCGTATTGCCTGCAGTAGAGCAAAATAATAAAAAAGTAAGTGAATGAGAAGTAAAACAAACAGCTCATATGAGAAATTGCAAAAGTATAGCACACTGTAACCACTTAAAAGAAGACACAGATAACCACATGGTGGAGCTCTTTCTATTTTAGAAGATAATACTGGTTGCTCAAACGATAAGACTACATGAGAACAAGAAAGACATCACTTATGACAGAAAAATAAATTATCCCCAGTTCACACCAACAAAAAGCTTGCTCTGGTAAATATGCCAGTTTAAGGCATTTGTGCTGACTGCACATATCCAGTTGAATGCAGTAGATTTCCATACAGCTCAACATTGAGCTCATACAACTCAAAGGAATCCCTAAGATTCAGTAAAATTCACCATTGGATTATGTTGCCTGTGCATCATACCCAACTGATATTCCTAATTTCCAAGACACAAATCAGAGCCAAAACCACCTAGAGATCTAACAAGCATATCGAAACACACTTACAGTCTCTGCATCTGAGTCAATGACCACTTTCCAGACACTAAATCAAGTCCTTCATTCCAAAAGGGAGAGATAACAAGTGTGTTTGGGCTTCGTTAAAATTAAGCATGACAGCCCGAATCTTACAACGAAGGAAATCTCCAACCTGGAGTATAGAGACCCACCACAAATAACCAAGACTCCAGTCTCACAACCATGAGACATTCTTAATTTAAAACCTTTGCCAAATAGGTTATAAGAGTTTTTACCCTCTGGCACGTGTCCAAATTGAGCCAACAGGACTAGACACCATGGTAATATAAAAAAATGTCCGATGAATGTTCAGCTTACATTAGGGAACATGTCCCTTACACGTAAAGTCAAAGAACTAACACTTTGCAGCAAAGAGAGGACTCTCAAGGTAAGTACAACAAATTATTTGGACTACAACCTTCTAGGACAGTAGTACTTAGAGACGAGGAAAGCGCATCTCTAAGTACCAAGCACACAGCCAAATGTCCATATAGCAACTAAGGATTAGAAAGATAATTCTGCGTTTAACATGCCGCCAGAAAGAATGAGTGACCAACCAAACAAACATATCTCAAGATCCTCCAAGGTCATTCAGTAATTTAATTCAGAAGGGAAAACCTATTCCAAAAATATCGGTTCTAAGGAATCAGAAGAAGAAAAAACTAAAATAAAGGCAGTAAAGGTTTCTTACCAGGTGAATAGATCCGTGTGCGAGATGAAGACCGATGTTTCTGATACGTGTTGTGAATAGGCCGCAAACTTGAGTCAAATTTCTTCAGGGACTTTGCCTTGTGTTTCTTCACAGAGAGCAAGTGTAGATCTTCCTTCCACAAATGTTGCAAGGCTTTGAACTTTAGGGCCACCACTTTCTCCTTGAACATTGTGAAGCGTTTCTTCATTATGAACTTCTCTCTCATAACACGATCAGTTTGCATTGACAGCATACTGGTAACTCTTGAGCAATCAACCGAGGAAAAATTAGTAGGCAATAATCTCTTAAATTCGCCAGCTGCTGCACAAGCAAATTCCTTATTCGAAGCCAATATGGCAGCACATACATTATCTTCTCCATCTGCCACTGATCTTGTCGGAGCAGATACAAGTTCATGATTGCTGCAGCGGACGAGAAAATTAACATCGCCTGGTGAAACAGCACTGTCTTTCTCATTTGTCACAGGCACTTCACATTTCGAGTCCACACCTGAATGCTCAATTGCCACTACAGCAGCATGCTCAGTGTCTATCACCATATCAGATGAAGAAGTCCGCACCGACAATACAGGTTCTATAAACTTTGACGTAGCAGTTCCAGGACTATCAATGTCATCATCCTTGGCACCAGTACCACCAACTTCAGTGGCTCCATCAGGAATACGATTTGTTTCCAGAACCTCATCCTTATTGGATACAACTTGCAGAGAAGGAGGACGGAGAGCAACACCAGATAATTTCTCCAGTTCATTGCAAGGGATAGCATCTCTATGTTCGGCTAAGGAACTGAATGATGGGCATGGCAGCTTGCTTCTATAATCAGACTTCAACGACTTTAGTTCATTTTCAAGACTATCTATCTCAGACTCTGTTGTTTCTAGGGCCTTCATAACATCACCTTTCCAAACAAGTAATTTATTCATTCCCGTCAACTTCACAAAACTGGAGTCCATAGAACACAAATCCTCAGACTGAAGCATCTCAATGAGCGAGGACTCCACATTAGGAATATCCAGCTTTTCTAAACTAAAAGAGAAACCCTCGGGATGGCTTTGAGAGCCGAAACTCGGCGAACCACATAAATTACTGCCGTCATTATCAACACTCATTGCCTTGCAAGAACTTTTCTCCTCTACACCTGGAACAAGAATACATTTTATTCAGAACACCTTTTTTGTAATGATGATTATTGGCCCCAAAGTTTGAACTTAGGGTATAGCAGATAAACCGCATTACTAAAGAAAAGAGAGACAACGAAAAGGATGCTGGAGAAAAAAAAGCTTAAACATTATAACAAAATATATTTGTTATACACAAGGTTCAAAATACAAATATATAAGAGAAAAAAATAGGAAAAAAAAAACAGGTAGGCTCAAAGGTTCACCACCGCAAAGCAAAATACAGATGCAGAAACCAGGTTCACACATTATTTTACAGAAAACATGAAGCATCTCTTTTTCCTATATGGTAAAGCTCGATATTACTAGAGGATGCAACTTGAAAAAAATGCCTGAAATGGTGAGCAAGTGCCTGCAGTGAGTTCAGACGTACAGCAAAAAAATAAAACTAATGCATGCCAGTATTTGCTTTAACTTTTATCAAGTACATAATCAAACTAACCCCCTGAAGATGCTTTTACAACTACGCAAATGAAACCCAAATAATTATTTCCTCGTTGACTGCAAGAGAAAACCAAGCACCAAGCAAATTTATCTCTCTATTGACTTAACTGTAGAATACAAATAGCCATAACAGTATCCAGATTCCACAGCAAAACATTGTATGAAGGTTCAAAATATTATGGCATACAGGTCAGTCAAGAGTTTCAGATCAAAATGAACAACATAAAAAAGGAAGCATAGTTTATTGATAATGAAACCTAAAGAGCAAAGAAAAGGAAAATACCTGGTGAGGAACTACAAGCAACAGAGGAAGGTGTTGCAGGAGAAGAACAACCAGGAAATCCCAGCAGCCTGGGGCTTTTTTCTGCCAGGCTTGAACTGTGCGAGTGACCAGGTTCAGCAGTGTTAGCAAACAAGATGGTACCATCTCTGGTCAAGCTAATCTCGGGGTCTTTCCGCTTCTCAAACTTTGCCAGTCCCTCACCCCATCTAAGGCGCGGCTTTTTCCTTGAGGTTGTGTCGTCGGAAGGTGCCACTGAAGTATCACAGACAGCTGCTGCTGCATTCCCTGAGGAAGACCGAATTGGAGGTTCATTCTTTGGCATCACCGCTATCTTTCCTCCATTAGAGTCTACTGCCCCAAGACTTTTCGAACTACTGGAGTGGCTGAATCCAGATCCCCTAGAGGACAAACTTCCTGCTCGAGTCCACTTAAGGGGTTTCCAGTCCAGTGAGTTCTCTTTTTCAACTCTCTCACCCGAACCCAAAGCACCGGGACCACCTTCCTTATTACTGTCACGCTGCTCTTTCAACTGAAGCTGGCCCCATGTGTTTACCAAGTCAGAATTAGGAGGATGAGAATGAGGATAGGTTAGCATATCATCAACTGACCTCTGATCATTACTCACATCATGGAATCTTCCAGGTCCATTTGGAGACCCATTGCTCATCTCGCATGAATGAGCTCTCCAGTCTCTCTGTCCAAAAGGCCCCCGGTTGTTATCTCTACTGGACCTGCCATATTTCCCGTCTCCGCGTGAAAATGGTGGTCTACCATTATCACCTTCCTGCATCTTGTCGCTTGACCTGGAGGGTGTATACCCATAACCAGGTTCTTCAGTAAACAGGTGCCAACCACCCTGCTTACCATGACCTTCACATCACTCAGAAAACAAACAAAGGGCGAAAAGAACAGAATAATTAATACAGGCAAATTGCATATAACACGGGATAAAGAAAAGGCAAAAACAACCTAGATGGAACAGGGAAGCCTAAATTCCAAGCAGATTATGAACCTTGATCTTCACTAAGAAAATAAGAGAAAGCAAAAGGTTCCACTACATAGTTAAAACCACACCTAAACAGATCTGCCCCAGGCACCCAACTACGTAGAATCCCAGCTCAAAAAGAATAAATATAGTCCATAAAGCAAGGAGAAGGCGGTTCTAAACCCGACAGTTCAACGCATGAACAACAGAACAAGAAACCAGATTGGCGTGTAAGAGACCTCCCACCACAAATTACCACGAAAGAGGAAAATCAGAAAGCGCAACCCTTCCCTTCTTCCAAGCCCAAAGCAGCCACAAAACTAAGACCTAACACATTAGAACCAGAAACTGGCAGCTGCCCAATCCAGAAACTGAACTGAGGTTCCACAAAACATCAAAAAACCTAACGAAAGACACTGCAGAAAGAAATCAGAAAAAAAGGGAAGAAAGAACTCACCGGAAGGCCTGCGGAACTCGCCGGATCCTCCAGTCCAGCGAGGAGAAAACTCGCGGTAGGATCCATAATGACCTCCTCCTGAGGGCAAGTCCCTCCATCGCGGTGTGGACCCTAAGGAAGACGACGACTCGGACCTCTCATGCCTCTTCCGGTCCCAAGGCAATGGCTCTGGCGGCATTAAACAGAAACACAGAAACGGCGCTCGCTCAAACCCTAATCCTGTCTTACCTATCCGGCATGAGACAACAATAAACGAAAGAAACCCAGCACTTTCCTTCCCCAAACCCTAAAGCAAAATCGGCAAAAGGCTGCCGCAAAAAAAAACTGGGCAGCCCCCAAAAACCCTAGCAGCTGAACAGAAGCCCGGTGGCCAAGTGAATTGAGAAGAAGAAGAAGGCTGCGGGAGATAATGGGCAGATCGCAAAGGGGACTGGATTGGATTAGATTGAGTGAAGCTGTAACAGCTTGAGGAGATTGGAGTTGAACGGTGGGGGAGCTTGTTGGCTCTTTCTCTTCAGTTTTCTCTCTGGCTTTTTCTGGGGGGGCGTTGCTTGGTTACAAAGAAAATAATAAAAAGGAAAAGAGCGGAAGAGAGAAGAAAATCATTCAGTAGAAAGATGGAAAATTTGGAGAAGGAAAGCCGATAAGAGACAAGAAAGAAGAGAAGAGACCACTTCGTATCTCAACGGCGATTGTTAACCAGATTTCAATCTTCTGTCGCGTCCGCGGTTTATAAAATTAAATAAAAAAGTAAATGATAAAAAATAAAAGTAAAAACTAAAAAACGATTATCTTAATTTCTTTCTTTGTCGCTATTTGGGATTTACCTTTTTGCCCCTAACATATCAGATGTTGCAGGTTGGGTGTAGATGGGTCGGGTGGTTCGGGTTTAGACATTTTAATCACCCGACCCATGCAGTACGGTTTAGGAAATATTAAACCCAAATCCACCCAAAAAAATCTAAACTCTACGGTTTGTTTCTAATTGGGTTGGGTCGGGTTGGCTATATTTTTAAGTAAAAACCCAACCCAACACAAAATATGTAATTATTCTACACTATAAAAATATTTTATAACTAATTAAAAATTCAAAAGAATAAACCGAGGTGAAAGGTATCAAAATGCACAAATGTTGTTTGAATTTTAATAAAATGTGATTTACTTCAACTTATGTCTAGTTTTTTTCACAACATTTGTAGAAATAGGCTAAAAAGGTTACAAATGAACGCATCCATAATATGTTATTCTATTAAAATTGTACACAAGAAAAAGAATTATGTGAATATAGCTATATTAAATTTATGTCTAAACTTTAAACCGAAGAATGCATTAGATTAGGGGACCTTAAGAGAAAAACATGGCGAAATATCTTAATTTTCTCATAAGTATGGCTATATACGACATAAATATTTTTTTGGATACAAACTCATACTAATAATTGGAACATGGGTTGGGTCGGGTTCTACGGGTTGTGTAATCCAAAATCCAAACCCAACCCAAAAGAGACGGGTTGTACAAAAGAAAATCCTCACCCAACCCAAAACCTTCGTTTTAGCGATAAATACGGGTGGGTTGGGTTGGACGGGTGGGTCGGTTTGCGGGTGTGTTTGTTCACCCCTAGTTGCATGAGTCACCAAACTGGTTTCCTTTTTTGTTGGCTAAGGGGTCATTTGGAAGTTGTGGTTGTTTTGTTGAGATTGTCATTATGCATATATTGTTTACAATACATCGTTTTTTTATTTTTTTTAGTGAGAAAACTTGAAGCCCCATTTCAAATTTTCTGCATCCAGAGTGAAAGTAGGAAGGGTAGATTCGTCTTCACAATAACCAGTAATGAGATTTGAACCGTGGTCTCTTCGAACAAAGATAAGAAACATAACCAGTTACAATAAACACATTTGTGTGATATTTTTCAAATAAAAACATACAGAAGCTTAAATCTGAAAAATATAAGACTTTTTCACCACGGTTAGCAACCGAAATGTCATTGATTCAAATATTGCATATATCGAATCACACTCTTAAATGTGTAGAAGCGATATAGAATTCTTAACATAGACTTAATTGTTATAACTATCATAAGTAACGATATTTTTAAGCACAAAACTTTTGAGTGAATATGGGGCACATGTGTCTTTAAGAGAGGGGTAAATATGGAAAGGTTGAGTGATGTTGGTTTGCCAAACGCGGATGGAAAAGCAGTGGCGGACCTAAGGCAAGGGAGGGTGTGTCGGAACACACCCTCGCTCGAGAATTTTGTGAAGGACCTATATATTTTTTGTACAAATTTTTTTATTTCGAGATAGCCGACACACCTTCAATAATTATAGCCGACACACCTTCATTATACTCGAAGAATGTATTATCCGAATAAATCAATCTTAATCATAATCCTTTTTAATTTTGTTTAAAATAACTCATAAATCATAATTCTATCAATTCCTATTAAAAAAACAAACTCTCGGCCCATACAATATACATGTGTGATGGGCCTCGGCCTATAATTAAAATAGAAAAAAAAACCCACAGGCCTAATGGCCAATAGCCCAGGCGGCCACTAACTCCCCATCATTACATGTTGCAACGACAAGCTGCGAAAGAACATTTTAGCTATGAAGATAATCAAGAATGATCTTCGAAATCGGTTGAGTGACCAATTTATGAATGATTGTTTAGTTGTGTATATTGAAAAAGATTTTCTTTGCAATATAAGTGATTAATGTATTTTAGAGACATTTAAGCAGATGAAAAGTCATCGCGATTCGTTGTAAACATGACATTGTGAACTTTATGAATTATTTTTTTTAATTTTTACTTAATTTTTTATTTAATTATTATTTTATTTTATCGGCGACACACCTCTCCGACAATCCTGGGTCCGCCACTGTGGAAAAGACACTACTAATGTAAACGGGTCCAAATAGTGTCCCGACCCACTAAATGCTCAACCATCGCCATCTCTCCAAACTTCTCATCAGACTCAACAACCGGCTAAACTCCTCTACCTCTATTGTTAAGCCAGAGCAATTTTTGGAGGGGTAAATATGGAAAGATTGAGTGTTGTTGGTTTGCCCAACGCAAATGGGAAATGTGCTACTAATGTAAACAGACCCAAATAGTTTCCGACCCACTAAACACTCAACCACCAGGTTACTTTCGCTACACCTAATATAAGAGTGAAATGGGAAATGTGCTTCCCCCATTACAAAATCCCTGCATCCATAGCAAAAGTAGGAAGGGTAGATTCGTCTTCACAGTCATTTATTATTTTCTTATTCACGGGAAAAATACATAAGTGATGGGATTTGAATTTTGTCTCTTTGAGAAAAGACAAGAAACATAACCAGTTACACTAAACAAATTTGTTTAAATTTTTTAAATTAAAAACATACAGGAAGCTTAAATCTGAAAAATCATTGGAATTTTACATCACAGTTAGCTAAGCCACTAACTCTCCCCTAAATGTTTTTTTGGTATTTGATACTTCTATTTTCATACTTTGATTATTTTAATTCGATTTTAACAATTAATTCTATTTCTCTTTATCTTATAAAAGGAGAATAATTTTAAAACCACAAGCCTAATGTCATTAGTGCAAATATTGCACATCAGAATTAAAGAATATAACTACCAAAAAATAACAATATTTTTGAACATATAAGTTTTGAGTGAATATGTGGCACATGTGTCTTTAAGAGAGGGGTAAATATGGAAAGGTTAAGTAATTTTGGTTTGTCGAATGTGGATTGAAAAGTCGCAACAAATGAAAATAGGTCTAAATGGTGTCCCGACCTACGTACTGAACGATCAACCATGGTCGTCTCTCCAACCTTCCCATCGGACTCGACAACCGCCTAACCTCCTCCACCTATATTGTTAAGCAAAGCAATTTTCGGAGGGGTATATATGGAAAGATTGAGTGTTCTTGCTTGGAGAGCTGACTGGTGGGTTATTTACTTTCTTTGACAATAATGTGTGATCTCTTAACATCAGTTCATTTGGTTGATCTTCTAGGTTGACTTTTGAGTGTATTAAAGATAAACAATGTCCCGGGCTCCCGTCCTACTAAAGGCTCAACCATCACCGTCTCTCCAAACCTTCCCATCGGACTCGACAATCGCCTATCCTCCTCCACCTATATTGTTACACAAAGCAATTTTCTAAGGGATATATATGTAAAGGTTGAGTGTTCTTGCTTGGAGAGTTGACTGATGGGTTATTTAGTTTCTTTGATAGTAATGTATGATCTCTTAACAACTATTCATTTGTTTGATATTCTAGGTTGACTTTTGAGTTGATTAAAGATAAATAACTATACTTTTTGTTGCTTTTTGTTGCTTTTTGTTATGATACTCCTTTTCAGTATCATCATTTTTCTGATTTGAAATGTTTTGGTGGTTAGTTTCCAGTAAACAAAGACTGTTCTGGTTAGTGTTAACATAGGGAATAGCTTCAATCATACCACTTTCACACAAAAATTATATGTAAGAGCTAAGATCATAGCCGAATTGAACTATTCAAGCTATAATGTTGATCTTCAACATATAAAACATAGAGTTACTTGCTTCCAGATTTAAAAGTGGGATTCTAATTAATACAATCTACACATAATATAATAGCATGAAGGAAAAAATCCTTCCCCCATTTCAAATTTTCTGCTCCATGAGCGTTTGTAGGAAGAGTATAATAGGGAGTGTCAATTTTTTTCTCTTTCCTCTGTGGAACGAGCCAACTTACCGTACACGTGCGGACTTGAACGGGCCAAGGGATTGTTGCGGCCCACAAAACATAATAGGTTCCAGCCACGGCCGCATCTGTTTCATGCCTCTATAGCGATCACCGTAACCGAGTCTTGGATTGTTTTGATGCTGGATCTGGACTCCACCGACGCCGGGAATAAATGAGATAATTAGAGAAAGAGAGCTTCATAATTGTTTACAAAATAATTTCCCCAATCCTTCTTCCGTGTGCTAATCGCCTAATCCCTTCCCTATGAGAAGAAATCCAAGCATACTAAAAAGATCGAGTCATGCTCATAAAGAAGGATGATAAATTGCATGCAAGTAAAATTTAAAGATTGAGTCATCTAATCAAATTATAATCAACCACCCCTTTCTATCATTTGCAAACTCTAACAGATAAGTGACAAAGAAATCCACAATATTGCTTCACTGTAACAAGACAGTATTATTGAAGATTGGTGGCTTTCTCTTCTTCTTCGTTAAACTAGCGTCGAAGATATACAAAGAGGGGGAGGGGGGTTTAAACAAGTGATAAGAGAGGGGGTTTAAACAAGTGATAAGATAATGGAAGATTAAGAAATGAAAAATAGAGACCGAGAGGGGGTGGAAATTGAGGTTCGGGGGGAGGATGACATGCAGGAAAAAGGTTTGCAAAGCTAAAATTAAGGACAAGAAAACAGGGATGGGGAGAAGTGGCTACCGGCGGCGATATAATTGAGATCGAGAGAGAGAGAGAAGTGAACCATGAGCCGGTGAGCACTGAGCAGCTTTTTCTAGGGGATATAGGGTTTTCATTAAGCCCTTTGATTTCTCAGTGTTGGTAAGATATATATGAAAGGGCAAACAATACTCATTTTTATTGCTAAAATGAAAAAATTTAACAATAAACTAATGCATGAATTCTAATGGGCTAACCGCTAATCATAAAATAAAAGAGTTGAATGGGTCTGACTCATATGAGATTTGACCATCAAGTTTCAAGTAAAACAAATTAATATAATGGGTTTGCCATCCTAAAACATGCTATTTTCTCTAGCATAACATATATTATTCTATTATTTTATATCTTGGTGGCTAAAATATAATGTATTTTAAAGTTATTAAATGGTTCGACCTCGACCAACCTGATTAGTATAATTTTTATAATTTCAAATATATATTATGTAATTATTTGATATCCTAATGATTAAATTATAGTGTATTTTATAGGGGATTTTTTATTCGGTTTTCTAGAATTCGATTTCTATAAAATTTACACCACCTCATCATATTACCAGAAATAATATTGTTTCACAAGGTAACAGGTACTCGAACTTGGTTCATAAAGCTGATTTTGTTATTCGTTGCATCATCCATGCCTCTTTCCTGCTAAAATTCACTATTTTTATCATGTGTTTAAAAAAACTACAAAACAATAAGCTATACATACACCCCATTACATTCTCAAATTTCATATCTCACCTTCCTCCGGCCAACTGGCCGGGGCCACTCTAGTTTATGGTTACTTAGATTAGTTCAACAGTTCAACTTTGGTCACTCTTTGTTAGTCTCCGTTAACTTTATCTGATGTGGCGGTCAACATTGAGAGTTGACCGTCAAAAAAGTGATGTGACAATTAAAAAAATAATAAAAATATTTTTTTTTAATTTCCACATCATATATATATTGAAATAAGCTAAAATAAAAAGATATTTACCATTTCCCACCCGCTCCGCCTATGACGTGTTCTCACCCAAACCCTCCCACCAATACAATTCACACCCCTCCCTCGAGCTATCTCTCAAACACTTCGCCGCCAAATTAGGCTCCGGCCATCGCTCCCTTCCGCAACCACCGCATAAGTCTCCCCAAGCATGGCTCCACCTTCAACTCACGTCATCTCGCTCCCCGAATCCACCGAAACCGCATTCAACCTCATCAAATCCACGATCACAAACTCCCTGCCGTACCACGCCGATGAAGCCCCCTCGTAGCTGTGTCCACCGCACCTCGCTCTAACCTCCGCCTTCCCTCCGCAGCATGTCACAGCTGCGACCAACTGCTCCGTCGTCGATGAAAGCATGACAGCCAGTGGTTTCGGGATGGCGGGGCCCTGAAAGCGGAGGTTTTGGATCGAGTAGTCGAGAAGGTTGTAGAAAGAAGTTGTGGTTGTCGGGTCCTCGGTGGTGGACGACGGGAATGTGGTGAAATTGTGGATTTGATTTTGGAGTAAGCATGAAGATAGGAGGAATTGGATGTCTGTTGTGGTGGGAAGGGAGAGCGAAGTGTGAATGTGAAGGAATGGAGAACAAAGCAATACTAGTGAGTGGAGAAACAAAGTGTTGGCCGCCATGGTGAAAATCTTTTTTAGCTGTGGGGGTGGGATGGGGGGAGTGGGGTTAGGTTTTTATTGAGGATGAACGAAATCGTTTTTGTGTTGTTGGGATGATCATAGGATGGAAGAAAACAACGGGAGAAAGAAGGTGAAATTTGGACAAACATTAGTCGGCCTTTGTTTCTTTTTCTTCCCTTTTCCCCCTGTTTTGGAGTTGAAACACACATGGCGATTGGAGATGAAGGTTCAAGGGTTGGTTAATTGGGTTGGGGATTTAACTTTAGTGAGCCCGCGATTCCGCCGGCGTCTTTGGTGGTTCCGATTGAGGAGCTTCCCACGACGGCGAAGATGGGAAGAGGTAATTCCAAACCTTAATTCCTATGTACCGCTCTCACCCGGGGCGGCTTAGACAATGAGCGGAGTAGATGTTGATGGGAGGTAGGTCGGGATCGGATTGAGGTTTGGAGAACGGAAAACATGGCAGGTTTAAGAGAGACAGAGAATTGAGGTCGCAGACGACGTCGGCGGTGGCAGCGGAGGACTCACCTCTCTCTTTCGTCGCTATTATTTGGAATATTGATTTTGGTAATTATAATTCATTTGTATTTTAATTTATTATTAAACTGAGGTGGAAACTAAAAAAATATAATTTTTATTTTTTAATTGTCACGTCATTTATATAACGGTAAACTCATAAAATTGACTGTCACGTCAAATAAAATTAACGGAGACTAACGGAGAGTGACCCAACTTGAACTGTTGAACTAATCTAAGCGGCCATAAATAAAATAAACTAATTTTAGTGGCAAATATGAAAGTATTTAGTAATTCCAGTGACCAAACTTGCAATTTAGCCCTTTTTTATTAGTAGGGTGGCAATGGGTCGGGTTTTTACCAACTCCAAACTCAAATTCATGGGTTTATCCTTATAAAAATTCAGGGTAAAACCCACTGGGTTTGGAAAACTCCAACCCAACCCAAATTGTTGGGTATCCTCGAGTTCGTGGGTACCCATGAGTTTTTGTGGTAACAAATTTATAATAACAAGTTTCTGTCAAAATAAAAGTCAAACATCAATTTTCCCATACAAATTATCCATACATAAAACACCGGTCTAGAAAATTCAAGCATGGTGTGTTCAACTTCTAGAAAATTCAACACCCAATTCTTTGTTTTTCGTTCATTCCTTTTTTTGTTTGTGAGAGAGGAGCAAACCAACGAACATGGTGTGTTCAGCTTCAATTATTAATTTATCCCTCCCACTTCTTTGTGGAATTTAGAATTAGGTTAGGGTTTTGGGAGAGTAGGGCGACAGAATAAGTGTGGACGGGTATCCATGGGTCGGGTATCTCTAAACACAAAACCAACCCGACCCGATGAACAGTGTAACGGGTTTAAACCCGACCTGAGACCCGTCAAAACGGGTTTTATACGCGTTGACAGGGTTGGGTCTGCTAGGGTACCCGTGGGTTCGGGTTTTGTTGTCATCGCTATTTTTTACCTTTTTGTTGTCCCGATTGAAGTAGAGTAGTAAATTCTAGGGTTGATAATTGGTGCGATTACGGTTTAATTGCATCACAAAGTCAGTTAGTCATGATCGACTAGCAGCAAAATCGTCCATCGTTACTATCACTACAAGCTTTGTCGTTTGGCCGAAAATTGCAAACATTAGCAAGCATACTACTTTACTAGTGATAGACCCAGTTCTTAACCGATAAAATTTTAAAATATTAAACACCTGTCCTTTCATTAATACACTCGATAAATTGTTCATCATTGCGGTACCCCAAATACCCGAAAATTTGTATTATACCATCAGAATCCTTCATTGTTTTTTTTTCTTTTAACTACTGTATTTGTTTTTTCCTTTACTCACTTTTTTAATTTCTTCCTAAACTTCTTATTTGTCTCATTCTTCCTTCACTTTCTCCCTCTTTCTTTCCCTTTCTCCCACAAGTGGCAGATGCCACCTCATCTCCCTCCCTTACTATTTCTTTCCACACTCCCACTTAAACTTCCTTCTTCTCCCTACCATTTCCTACACTTTCCTTTATCATGCATGTTCATGCATACATATACGTACAATTCCCATCCCTACTCTTTCCTTCAATTTCCACTACATATTTATACTTCTTCTACTTTCACATACACCCTTACACTTTCTCAAATACTATACTAGATAAGGAATATTAGTGTATGACGGAGAATGTTAAGGTATTACGGAGAATATTAACGAGTATAGGAGAATAATGGAGAATGTTGGTGAATGTTAACGTAAGTCGAGGAATTTAACTACGACTTTTTTCTATAAATAGGGAGCACCCCTCCCCCTTTCAAAACTACAACAACACACACACACACACACCACATAAGCCACTTACGACTAATTCACACGACACAACTCACACACCATATACACTCTCTCTACTTTCTCTCTCCAAAAACGTTTTCTCTCTCCTCCCGATCTCCCAAAAGCGTGTTAAATCTCTTAACACTCAACACACCCTCAATTTGGCGGACTAAGCCATGGGATCGTGGATAGTCTCCACCGGGCGACATTAAATAGCCGACGACGCTCAATTACGACCGTGGGACCGAACCAGGTCTAACGTCACCGTATTTATTTTATTCCATTCAGGTTACTAATTTGAGTGTCGGAGGAGGTTCCAACCAGGACCCCCCCCCCCCCGGTGGGACCTTTTTTCAGGTATTCGCACGGAGCTGGAGGTGGTTAAAGGCTTTGGGAAATCAGCGCTCTCCGGACCTTAAACATATTGAAGCAGGCTGCTCTAAGTTTGGCATCAACAATTGGCGCCCACCGTGGGGCCCGGTGAGAAGAATATTCCCAAAGTTTTAACAAACCACCTTCAAGCCGTGATGAATACCTAAGGTTCTCCCAGTATTCCTACCATTGAAGCAGTGCGTCGCTCTTTAAGAGTAATCGAGACTGGGGGCAACCCAACCCCCCGTTCACCACTCAGCGATGCACCGAGTCAAAATACAGAGCCTCGAGTGGTGCCACTTGCACAGAATACCTCCATTCCGGCACCAGAAGCAATTCCCACCCCTACTCCGCCACAAGTACGTGAGATGCAAGTTGAGATTGAGCGACTTAGAGCTCAACTCAGGGCCAAAGAAGCCTCCCAGATTAATGCTCCTGGATCTTCCAGAGGACCCGTAACAAATAATCAGGAGAGAGTTGCAGCCCATGGCTCGGTCAACGAACCACCCGATGGGATGTCAGCACCTGTTGGATTAATCGCTCCGAGTCTCTCAGCCAATCTGCTCGAACCTTCCCCAGGACACGAAGTTGTCACTTCAACCGGAATAGGAGGACCTCTATCCAGAATCGTGTAGGATGAGCCCTACCCATCAAATCTTCATTTACCAAGCTTGCCAGAATATTATGGCACCACAGATCCAGAAGACCACTTTTGCTCTTTTCAAATCCTAATGCCATTAATCGGAGCATCTGATGCAACAATGTGCAAAATCTTCCCAGCAACACTCCGTGGAGATGCCCGACGATGGTACTCAAAGTTACAAGATGGTATTATCTCCAGTTTCTTCGAATTTGCCACTCTCTTCAGATGCAAATTCTACGCACAAAAAAAACAACCTATCAGCATCCATCAACTCCTCAGCATCAGGCAGCGTGATGATGAGACACTCAAGGCTTACTATACTCGATATAGTAACATCGCCATCGGACTAACGTCCATTTCCACTGAGATCGCCACCAATGCCCTGATGCGAGGGACTATCAACACTGATTTATATGCTTCTCTTGCAAAACGGGCTCCCCACAGCACTATGGAGCTTCAAGAGCGAGTTTCAAAATATATTGATCTAGAAGAAGCACTTCAGGAGGTTAGTCGGGCAGGATCCAAAAGAAAACAAGAGACTTCATCCCAAGATTCCCGTCGACAACGTCAAGCTCCTGCAACCGAGGGCCGAAACTCTTCCCAAAATTCCAGAACGGAAGATACCCAGTTACAACAAAGCTATACTCCTCTCAATCGCTCTAGACAAGCCATTCTTCAGATCATTCGAGAGAAGAAAATTCCCATTACTCAACCTCCTCCAATTATGAGGGTTTCAGGAAAGGGCCAACAATTCTACTGCGAATTTCATCGATGTACGGGACATGATACAGAAAGCTGTTACACCCTCAAGCACTCTATTGAAAGACTTATCCAACGAGGCTATCTTCGAGACTTCGTAAAGAATATTGTCCCCCTATTCTCCCTTCACCTCCAATAATAGACAAAGGAAAAGCACCACAGGGAAGTGGATCGGTGTTGGGAAATGTTCCTGTCATTCATGGTGGGGTCAAATTATCCGAACAAGTTGGTTCTCGCTCAACCGGTGCCCTAAGGTTGGTCGGTTTCGCATCTACCACACAAATTCCCACATCTTTCGACGATAGGGATCTTGAAGATATCGAGTATCCTCATGATGATGCCTTAGTCATTAAGGCAGTAATTGCAAACTATTCTGTGCAACGAGTCCTCATCGATGGAGGAAGCTCTGCAGATCTTTTATTCTACCCAGCTTTCAAGTCCATGGGTCTTCAACTAAACAAATGTCACCCTCCTAGCATTTACCTCGTGGGGTTCTCCGGAAATCAAGTCCCAGTTCTGGGGATTCTCCCACTCCAAGTTCGTATTGGCAATAACCAACAAACCGTAGAGAACACAATCAACTTCCATGTTATTGACTGCCCTTCCGCGTACAACTGCATTCTCGGGCGCCCTTTTCTACATCAAGTTCGGGCTATACCCTCAACTCTGCACTTAAAATTGAAGTTCCCAACTATTGCCGGAGTCGGGTGTGTGAAGGGAGATCAAGCTCTTGCACGACAGTGTTGTGAGTTCTCCCTTAAAGATGGCTTTGTGGCCACGATGGAAGCCAAAGATGAGGTCGCTCGTCCCGTTCCCGTTGACCCTGATGAAGAACATACATTAGAAGAAGGGCGAACCGTTCGTGTATCCATGGCATGGCCTAAAAATTATCTCCCACAACTTCTTAGTTTGATGATCGAGTACAAAGAGCTCTTTGCTCAAGGACCTGAGGATATGCCTGGTCTTGATTCAAAAGTTGCCGAGCATACACTAGGGATAATCCCAGGTAGCAAGCCCATCCAACAAAAACGAAGGAATTTTGCATGGAACGTCGCCAGGCCATAGCAGAGGAGGTAATCAAGCTAGGGCAAGCCGGCTTCATTAGTGAGGTTCTCTACCCAACATGGTTGGCTAATGTGGTCATGGTTAAAAAGGCCAACGGCCAGTGGAGAATGTGTGTTGACTTCACCGATCTCAACAAGGCTTGCCCGAAGGACCCGTATCCTTTGGCCAAGATTGATCTGCTCATTGATGCGACCGCCGGTCATCGCCATCTCTCTTTTCTTGATATGTTCTCAGGGTACCACCAGATCCCACTAAAGAAAGACGACCAAAAATATACTGCCTTCATGACTCCGGTAGGAAATTATTGCTACAAGGTGATGCCATTCGGCCTCAAAAATGCCGGAGCTACCTATCAACGTATGGTGGATCGAGTCTTTGCCCGACAACTAGGTCGAAATGTTGAAGCCTATGTGGATGACATCCTAATCAAAAGTGCAGAGACACATGCACATTTAGAAGATCTACGCGAGACTTTTGATACCCTACGAGGATACAACTTACGCCTTAATCCAAAAAAGTGCGTCTTCGGGGCCACCGCAGGGAAGTTTCTTGGATTCATGGTGACAAGACGTGGAATCGAGGTTAACCCCAGGCAAATTGAAGCGATTCTCCAGATGACATCACCTACAAAGCATAAAGAAGTACAGGTTCTAACAGGAAGGATTGCGGCACTCAATCGATTCATTTCACGAGCTGGGGATCGGTGTGCCCCTTTCTTCAACACCATAAAAGGAGCTGGAAAAACTTTTCAGTGGACTCCTGAATGTGAGAAAGCTTTCACAGAACTTAAGGAGTACTTGGTGAATCCCCCAATACTCTCATCTCCCGTCAACAACGAGACATTGTACATGTACTTTGCTGTCTCCTCCAAGGCTGTGAGTGTTGTACTCGTTCGCCGAGATACAAACCATACAGAGCATCCTATTTACTACACTTGTAAGACCCTGTTAGATGCTGAAACAAGATACTCTCCTGTGGAGAAAGCCGCCCTAGCTGTGGTGGTTGCCACTCGAAAGCTGCGTCCGTACTTCCAAAGCCACCCCATATGTATACTCTCTCAACTTCCTTTACGTCGTCTACTTCAGCGGATGGATGTTGCTGGTAGAATGGTGAACTGGGCCATCGAGCTTAGTGAATACGATATCACTTTCCTCCCTCGCACCGCCATCAAGTCCCAGGTTTTAGCTGACTTTGTTGCAGAAGGTGTTCGAGCATGTATCCCACCAGAAACAGAGACTTGGAGATTGTACGTTGATGGTGCATCTAGTAAAACTGGATCAGGAGCAGGGGTTTTGCTCATCAGCCCTCTCGGAGTCACTCATGAATTGACAATTCGCTTTGCCAGCACCATGACGAACAATGCTACCGAGTATGAAGCCCTCCTAGCGGGACTAATTATGGCTCAAGAATTGGGCATTCAACGAATTAGGGTCCACTCCGACTCTGCCCTAGTTGTCAATCAAGTGCAGGGGGCATACGAGGTACGAGAGCCCACACTCGTACCATACACCAATGCCGCTCGTATGGCACTCTCTGAGTTTCCTCAAGCGGAGATAGTCCACATATCTCGTGAGGATAATCTTCATGCAGACGCATTATCAAAACTTGCAACAGCACAAGACTTCCTCAGCGAGAGACATGTGATCATTGAAAGGCGTCCAACAATGTTATGCGCCCAAGTTACCTCATTTCCAGCACAATCCGATTGGCGAACACCTCTCATCGAGTATCTAAAATATGGGCTCCTGCCCGCTGACCAGAAGGAAGCCATCCGCCTTAAGAGACGTGCTCCTCGTTACCTCTTGATCGAGGGAGATTTATACAAGAAAGGCTTCACTGGACCCTACCTGCGGTGCCTTAGCATTGGCGAAGCACACTTTGCCGTACAGGAGGTACATGAAGGATCATGGGGGATGCACGCTGGTACTCGTAGCTTGGAAAAAACCCTTCTACGACAAGGTTACTACTGGCCCACGATGCGGCGGGACACTCAAAAGTATGCTCAAGCATGCCCCAAATGTCAGGTGGCCGCGCAAACCACTCATGCACCTCCATCAAAAATGCAGGTTAACATCGGGCCATGGCCATTCGCTCAATGGGGGATGGACTTTTTGGGACCCTTTCCCATGGCTCCCGGACGAAAGAAATGGTTGATCGTAGCCATTGATTATTTTACCAAGTGGATTGAGGCTGAGGCGATCGCTAGCCTATCCACTCAGAAAGTTGAAAAGTTTTTATGGCTAAACATCTTATGCAGGTTCAGTCTCCCTCACACTCTAATCATGGATCAAGGGACACAATTCACAAGCGAAGATTTACAGGCCTACTGCGCCCAATATGGAATCTTACTTCGATATGCCTCAGTGGCCTATCCTCAAGCTAACGGTCACGCTGAGGCTGCTAACAAAAGCATCCTATGGGGCCTAAAAACCAGATTAGGCCAGGCCAAGGGTCGATGGGTCGAGGAGCTGCCCCATGTGCTTTGGGCCCACCGGACAACTTACAAGACTTCCACTGGGGAGACACCATATGCCTTGACTTATGGCACCGATGCTGTGCTGCCAATTGAAATGGAGCTCTCCTCTTACAGAATCCAAGCATTCCACCCTGATGAAAATCAAATCGAGCTCACTCATGATGTACATCTCATCGAGGAGCGTCGAGAGGAAGCACTTTTGCGACTCGCCGCTTCCAAAGAGAGGATCGCGCGTTACTACAACGCCAAGGTGAGAAATCGACCCATCAGGGAAGGGGAGTGGGTTCTGAGGAGAAACTTCAAACACATTCCAAGTCAAGGAAAGTTCACCCCCCAGTGGGAGGGTCCTTACAAAGTGCGTAAAGTGGTCGGACCAAATACTGTAAAACTATCACTCCCTGATGGTCAAGACATGTCAAGGACTTGGAACACAATGCATCTAAGGAGATACTTTACTCCATAAATATGGTATACCCTTGCTATATTTTAAATAAACACCCCAGTGGATTTGTTCCCTAAATAAAAACCATGGTAGGGTGAAAGATAGCTAGCAATAAAAGTAGCGTGTTTATTATTACAAAAGTTTGGAAGCCCATTGTACATTACCTACTACAGGTGTTTATAAGCTAAGCTATACACATGACCGAGTATCTTACATAATATTTTACAATGTTATTTCAAGTGGGAATTTCATAAACTTTAGTTCTCAAAAAACTCTGGGCCGAGTAACTCGGTTGCAGCCAACAACATTGCCGTCGAGATATTAAAGTCTGAATGCACTGGGGTGCCAACCATTGGACTTGCTTCAGAAACAGCATCTAAAAGTGGCGAGATGCGATGTAACTCAATCTCCAAAATCGAAATTTGGCTTGCTGCTTCCCCAGACTGAGGAGCACCAGCGCATTCCTCCACGACATTCATATTTTGGGATGTCACCTCCTCAGGTTCCAAAGTAGTCGCACATTCTTCCACCACTTGACGAAGGCGGGTGTCATCAATATCTCTTGCAGGATACATACAATGAATTGCCCTTCTGGCCAGGCGATGGACATTTTCCATCACTCCCGAAACCGCCATCTGTAACTGATGACATAGAGTATTATTCTCTGATCGGAGGGTGGTGTTTTCTGAGTGTAAACCAGTATTCTCCGACCGTAAAGATCTCCTGATTAGCCTCTCCTCACGCATACTGGCGTGAAGCTGCTCAACTTTTTCGCGAAGGCCAGCCTCGGCTGCTTCTGAGGTACGCAGCTCTTGTGTGGCTACCTCAACACGTTGTTGAGCCTCCACCATGTCTGCATTCCATTCACAAGATTTGGAAGAAAATTGCTCCTCTCTTGTCTTCATATAGATTCTCATTTCTTCCAAAGAACGAGTTGCCTCCTCTCGGGCCTCAGTAACCCGAAGCTCTGCCATAGCTAGGCGACACTCCATGGCAACAGCGTACCTCGCCAGCTATTCGCAAAATAACAACGTCGATGTATCATATACAAATTGAAGAACGAAAAACAAAGGAAGAACGTAAAAGCACCTTTGAAACAGAAGAAGCAAAAGTTGATCCTGTGGCTACATCTTTCAAAACGGGATAGTGTTTCCCCGCATCGCACAAACTGTCATACGTTATGACACCACCAGCCAAAATTCCACCTTTGTTGGCTCTTGAAGACTCCCCCTGATGCTTCAGGGTTCCCCTACCGCCCACTGGGGTTTTTCCTTTAGCATCTCTGGCTCTCCCCTCAGAGCGACCCTTCCCAGTAGGGGAATCTCTTGATCCTCTCACCCAGGAACGAGTTCTCTTCGACTGGTCATGACGAACTCTCGACCGTCCACGCGGGGGATTATCTGGTCTCTCACGAATTGGCACCCCGACATACGAGTGAGGCACTGCTGGCACTTCTCTATTCCTCATACACCTCTGAAAGTGAGAGTAATCTGCAAGGAAGGATTACAGTTAGAAAATACGGTCACAAAAAGGGAAGTACTGTAAAAAATGACGTACCTTTACCATAAACAGCAAGAAACAAGCTTGCTCGAGCCCCAGGAGTACTTATATCAATGGGTCTCTCCCGGAGAAGCCGATCATGCTGTAAAGCGATTTCTCCCTCAATCACGGGATCCTGAAATCCACCTGTAACACCTTCACTCCAGTCAGCTGGGACCGTGATACCTCCGGAGGTAAACTCACTAGGCGGGGCAAGAAAATAAAAAAATTCCGTCTCCCACGACCCCTTCAGATGGCTCAGCGAATTGCAAAGGTTATTGGCTGACTTCCGTTTGTGTAGCTCCCAAGCCACTCGATCATGACGAAAGAAAAAACAAGCATAAAACAACTCGGGGGATGGTGGAACCGCAACTTGACGACATGACAGAATAAAACAAGCGATGAAAGTCCAAAAACGAGGACTAACAGAATCGATTGAAAGCTTAATACGGTGCATTACAACACACAACCATGCAGGCAGGGGCAATCGAAACCCATACTCCAGAGAAGAACGAAAAAGCGATCGCCATGATGATGGGTGACTTACAGCCGAAACAAGTCTGTTGGGTATGGCATAACTCCAGTGATGAGGCATACCATACGAAACCAACAGTTCTCGTAACCACTTTTCACTTTGTGTAAAACCACGTCCCAGGCCACCTACTGGGTACTCCGGAGGCACTCGACCAAGAGGATACATCACCTCCCAAGGGCAGACATTAAAACCCAGTGGGTTAGGTGCTATATTTCGAGACCCACTGGCATCCGATCCTCTTGCCACCACAACAGTGGAAGGCTGTATAATCATTAAATGTTGATTATCTCGTAATGATGAAGGTAAACTCGCCATTTTTACTAAAGGTAAAATGAGAATTTACTTTAGGGATAGTGAAACAAGAGTTTGCTGTGGGTAGTGAACTGCTTTTGCTTTGTGAGAAATGAAAAGATGGGAGGAGAAGTACGAGAGCAGGAGGCTGGGAAATGGAGAATGGATTATGTTCCCTCCGCTCTGGTATTTATAGGAACAACGTTTGAGACTGGGTCTAATACCGACTTACCGTCAGAAAATGTCCGGACGAACTCCGAATTTTTCTATCGGTAAGGGGGGCAATTGATAGACCCAGTTCTTAACCGATAAAATTTTAAAATATTAAACACCTGTCCTTTCATTAATACACTCGATAAATTGTTCATCATTGCGGTACCCGAAATACCCGAAAATTTGTATTATACCATCAGAATCCTTCATTGTTTTTTTCCTTTAACTACTGTATTTGTTTTTTCCTTTACTCACTTTTTTAATTTCTTCCTAAACTTCTTATTTGTCTCATTCTTCCTTCACTTTCTCCCTCTTTCTTTCCCTTTCTCCCACAAGTGGCAGATGCCACCTCATCTCCCTCCCTTACTATTTCTTTCCACACTCCCACGTAAACTTCCTTCTTCTCCCTACCATTTCCTACACTTTCCTTTATCATGCATGTTCATGCATACATATACGTACAATTCCCATCCCTACTCTTTCCTTCAATTTCCACTACATATTTATACTTCTTCTACTTTCACATACACCCTTACACTTTCTCAAATACTATACTAGATAAGGAATATTAGTGTATGACGGAGAATGTTAAGGTATTACGGAGAATATTAACGAGTATAGGAGAATAATGGAGAATGTTGGTGAATGTTAACGTAAGTCGAGGAATTTAACTACGACTTTTTTCTATAAATAGGGAGCACCCCTCCCCCTTTCAAAACTACAACAACACACACACACACACACACACCACATAAGTCACTTACGACTAATTCACACGACACAACTCACACACCATATACACTCTCTCTACTTTCTCTCTCTAAAAACGTTTTCTCTCTCCTCCCGATCTCCCAAAAGCGTGTTAAATCTCTTAACACTCAACACACCCTCAATTTGGCGGACTAAGCCATGGGATCGTGGATAGTCTCCACCGGGCGGCATTAAATAGCCGACGACGCTCAATTACGACCGTGGGACCGAACCAGGTCTAACGTCACCGTATTTATTTTATTCCATTCAGGTTACTAATTTGAGTGTCGGAGGAGGTTCCAACCAGGACCCCCCCGGTGGGACCTTTTTTTCAGGTATTCGCACGGAGCTGGAGGTGGTTAAAGGCTTTGGGAAATCAGCGCTCTCTGGACCTTAAACATATTGAAGCAGGCTGCTCTAAGCTTGGCATCAACAACTAGATTGAATTCATTCAAAGTATAGGAACTGCTTTAACAAAAAGGGCTCAAACTACAGTGATCTGAGACCTTCTTCCCTTAGTGAGGGAGGGAAACACACTCGTCCCCTCTTGCATCTTACTTGGAAAAAACCGTTGCCGAAAAATTGTCATCTTTACTATTGTCTCTGACTCATGCATTCTCTGTGGAGTCCCCCTTCTTTTTCATTGTGCAAAATGGTCGCCTATTACATGGCTCACTAACTTTGCGTAAGTCATGTTCAAAGAAAAGATCTGATAGTCCCCTGAGAAAAAGAGAGCTATAAGTAGGCCGCTTGCTATACCTTTACTCGCTATACGATCTGCTCACCCTTATAAGTCACTCGACCGAAGGATCGAAGTCACTCGACCGAAGGAACGAAGTTGCTCGACTGAAAGGAGAGGAGGAGAATATGTGAGTCGAAGGTTTATCATAAATGGGGATGTTGTGGAATTATCTACTGGTTCTCGTCCACTTATCGCTGACCTCGCCTCCCACTACAACAGTAGCGTTGACGTGTAATAAGTTTATGATCCAACTTCTCCTAATGGGAGGCATTCCGTTACCATAGCATGAATCTTAAAAGAAAGGCAATTGCCAAAGGAAATTGATTTCGATATGAGCTTCTGTTCCCTCGTGTCCAAAAGTGAACAAGGCTTTAGCTTCTACAATTCGCTGTTTTTCTCAGAGGGAACGCGCTTTTTCGACCGTGGTGGTATGATTGTCGTATCCTCCCCTCATCGGTTCAGAGGCGGTTAGGCGATAACCGACAACAATAGTTTCAAAGTGAGTCCCGACAGGCAACATCATCAACAACACCTCTAAAGAGAGGCTCTACAGGCGACAACTACAGTAGTAGCTTCAGGCATAAGCCCGACAGGCGGCAACCACAACAACTTAAGGGAGGATCAAGAGCAACATATTTTGGCGGGGTGACGAGGGATTGAGGAGTACCCTGTTTATGATGAGGACGATGAGCCGACGACAATGAGATGAGAAGTTGATGACGGTTGGGCGATGGCGAAAAGCGAAGAAGAATTTGATGTTTGGGCAAGGTCGAGATTTGAGAAGATGAGAATGATTCTCAGCCGCAAGGGATACCACAACCTCTAGAGACGAACAAGTTGCGACGCGAAGGAGGGATGATGAGACGATGACGACTAGCCGATAACGAGGTCGAGAATACGAGGCCAAGACGGTTGGCCAATTATGAGGTCAATAAGACGAGGGGTTCCTCGTTCTTTCTTCAATTTTATGATTTGGGGATTTATGGTAAACTTGGGAGGAGGCCATGAGGATTGAGGGGGGCAAAATGTGATGCTGAATTGATCGCAATGTGGGAGGGTGTAGGGCAGACGAAGTCGTGTCCCATAGTTAGAGCAGGCAACCTATTGAGGATCGATTATTTATCGCTAACCTCATGGCTAATACTAACCGCGACTATTAAAAGATTAATGGTTAGCCAATAACTGCGAACCCCAATTTGGTTTCACGGTTATCCAACTAATCGACAACCGTTTAATAGTTATAGTAAAGTCCTTTTTATGAGTTGTACATATAATGGAGCTGGGGTTAGGGTATTAACACCTAACTTGTTGTCATGGTGCTAATACTAATTCTAGAAAATGAGAACTTTTATATTTGCCAAGTTTCTAAGTTTAACGGAGTTGACTACAATCTAGTGTTGATTTTAGAGGAAGGTAAATGCTTGTCATCTTGAAAGATTAACTAATTGGATCTCTAACCCGAGCTTCTACTCATAACTCCTCTTTGCCACATCCCTAATCCGAGCTCCTCTTTGTTCACAACTGTCGCATCCCTAGCTTGAGCTGGTGTTGGAGGTCTGATCAACCCGTCGAGGAGCAGAATGACAACGGTGGAGTAGAATGCACCACCAATCGAGGTGGAGTAGATCGTACCATCAATCGAGTAGAATAACTTAGGGCTTGTTTGGAGGTTAGGATTTGAGATGAATGATTGAGCCAATACATGCATTGAGGAGATTATGTTGTTTTTTTGGTTTAATTTGGGCCGAAATACATGCATGACCTTTTTGGGGGCCCACTCACAATCCTTCATAATGGATGATTTATAATCTCTCCTTTAATGAGAGATTGTAAACAAATGATTGTGGCCTAACTTTCTATTCCATTTCTATCCCTATTTTCTTTTCTTTATACCAAGATTAACCTCATCCTCCACTGACCCTCTCTCCTTCCATCGACACATAGAAGCTAGAAAAAGGGGAAAATCTGTCTTATTCCTCCCTCGACGACCTGTGTCGGAATTCCAGAAGATCAATCCTTGAACTCATCTACCTCGCCATCCACTTTAATCCTTGCATCCCACAGGAATCGCTGCCTCCTCACCATCACGACGGAGCCGACTTTGTAGTTGTATCCTGCCATTGGAATTCGTCCGAGATCGAAAGAAGAAGGGCCTTGTGTTTTAGCGTGGAATTGAAGGACATCACTTGTTTTGGACTCCACTTAAAGCAGCCGAAGAACCTTCTATTTGGATTACCCGTTGTATGCGACGTCCTAACGATTGCAGGAGAGTCGCACTTGCAAATTACAAAGATTTCTTCTTGGTTGTTGTCGGGGATTCGCCGGAATTGTCGCGTATCCGTCATTTGGCTGGAACCCACTTCTATTTTCCTCTCGCTGCTGCTTTACCCGACCTAATAGCCTTCCCCGCCAACGTGGAATGGATATAAAGGAAGGAGGAGTTGGTGAAGGGCAATTATGCTCATCAATCTGAAAAGTGTACTATTTTTAGGTTATGTGAAAAGTACAATGTACAACACCAAACAAGGGATTTACCAAATACAACAATTGATAGAATGCATATATTTACAATGCACTAATTGATAGAATACATCAATTGTATGAATCACATCCTCCAAACATGCCCTTATTTTCGAAACTCTTCCTTAGTGTGATTGAGTAGAATGAACAATTCCAACCAAATCCCCACTCAAAGGATCCTTAGAAGAAACCAGCCCTTTTCGCAAATATTGGATTTTGCAAGTACCAATTTGGCCAAATGTCCTGAAAAAAACATGGTTCACGAAACCGTACTGGACATCATACCGTATTCCTTTCTGGTAGGGTATTTTGTGGTACAACCGTGGTTCAATCGTTTTGTACTGGTAAATACCGTTCTTGTAATAATAAAATATTTTTTCAATAAAAAACCGTGCCGTCAAAATTAGAGTACCGTTTCGGAATAATACCGAAATATACCGAAATTACTGGATATAAATAAATATTAAATAATTATTAATTACAGAACTGTCCCCACCCGTCACTTTATTTTTTTCATTGTTACCCCATGTGTGTCTTTTGCTTTCCTCTTTTTCTTTCCTTTCAGAGACTCACGCCTCTATCTCTTACTCTCCTCTCCTCTTTCCTCCCAATCTCAAACCTTCTGCTCTCTCACCTACTCAATTCCTCAATAGATACTCGTCGAGAATTGATCATCACCGGACCTATATATTACAACGTTGGCTGGAGCGGAGATCGTGGCTGGGTGGGCTTTTCATCAGTGGCCGGCGAAGGGCGACCTCGGCCAGGGGAGTCGCTGGGAAGGACGACTCGGCGGCGGTCGCCGGGAAGGACGAATCTTCGGAGGTCACTTCTCGAATGACGACCTTTGTTTCCCGTTAGCACTTAGCAGGCGACGAAGCAAGTTTTTGCTACATGCAATTTGGGAACGGCGAGCTTCCTTCTCTAATCTCTTCAGATCCGCAGTTCGCACTCAGCACAAGCGACGGAGCGGCGAGCCCTTTCTCCCGATTGACGAACGATGACTACCCGCACGGATCGGGGCAGTTCGCACTCATCACAGGCGACGGAGCGGCGAGCCTTTTCTCCCGATTGACGAACGACGATTACCCGCCCCGATCGGCGGAGGAGAAGAAGATCTGGGTAGAGTTGGAGTAGGTAGCAATGGGAATTTGTGATTTTTCCTTTTTTTCGTTTTCTTTTGAAAACGATGTAGTTTTGTTCAATCAAGTTTATTTTTCTATTACTCTCAACAAACCGCCGGTTGGTTCAAAATCGGGCGGTATTACGCGAAATGCCGGTACAATCTAAAAAACCGGCCGGTATGCAAATCTCCCCCAAACAGTTGTATCGTATCGTCTTTTGCCCGATTTCCGATTGGACCGGTTGAACCGGCCGATACGATCCGGTTTCCTAGTCTATTGCGAAAAGGACGACTATTTCGGTATGTCGACCTCTGCGCTTCCCAACATCTTCCTACTTCCGCCACTTCACTGTAGACCTCGAGTCACTCAAACATCTCTTCCCTTCGCCGCCGCCGCTACGGCCCGGCGAGCACAACATTTCGCTGCAATGGGAAATTCATCTTCGATGCTGACTCAGTACGACATCGAAGAGGTCCAGGAGCATTGTAATCACGCCTGTAAGCAATCTTCCCCTCGATAATTCGATGATCCAGCCGATCAAATCACGGTAACATTGATGTGAACGTTTACCTTGTGCGTAGTTTCTCAGCAAGAGACAGTCTCGCTGTACCAGAGATTTTGCCAGCTCGATCGGAGCAGCGGTGGGTTTATCTCCGCCGATGAGTTCCTCTCCGTGCCTGAGTTCGCCGTCAATCCTCTCGCTCAGGTTCTTTAGTCGTTGCTCTATATTTTCGTTGAAGTCTTCCTGAAAATTTTCTGTTCTATTATTCATTAAAAAAAATTTGTTCTATTTTGATTATCGTCTCTTCCTTTTGGAGATCAGAGATTGCTGAGGACGGTTGATGGATTGAATTTCAAGGAGTTCGTTGCTTTCCTGTCTGCATTCAGTCCTCGCGCCACATTGCAGCAGAAAATTGAATGTATTGGCCCTTTCTCTCCTTGATTGGCATTGTTGAAATGGGTACTTTTGGTTTCTAAATGTCGTTGTTTGTTAATTCTGTAGTTATCTTCAAGGTATACGATTCGGATGGAAAAGGGTCAGTTTCATTCAAAGACTTATTGGATGTGCTCCGTGATTTGACTGGACATTTTATATCTGAAGAACAGAGGGAGGTTGGATGTTCATCTCATAGCTTCATTTGTTTTTACGAATCGGTTTATATCTAGAGGGTGGTGAATGAGTAGTGAAGAGCAAAGCTGAGAAGGAAACAACCTTCGCTGTTTTTGACTGTTCTCTTGTGTGCTGTTTCTTGCAGCAAGTGCTGAAGCAGGTTCTTGAAGAAGCAGGCTACAGAAAGGACTCATCATTAGTTTTTGCCGACTTTGTAAAGGTACTTTTCGATTGTATTGTGTTCTGAGTTTAGGTAGTGATTGCGGCATTGAAACCTTTGTTTGACTTCAATTATACGGTTAACAGATTGAGGGTAGAGGGATAGACAGATTCATCCATTGTGGTTCAAGTCACCGTTTTGGTATTTCTCTCTGGATTTTTTGCATCTAGGTCGTTTTTACATTGCTATCTTGGGTAGTTCTCTAAATTAGTTAGCTCCCTCTATTTGCATCCTGTGAAGCTTGTATCCTGGGAAGTTTTCATCTTTACATCATGGGTTGTGCAACTGAGCAAAGTATGACTTGCAAAATTGTCATGAGAATTCCTGCTGGAAAAGCATGAAATTATCTATTATATCTTGCACTCGAGTAGGAAAAGCTCCAATCAACTGTTATATTCTGCGTCTTAGAGCTGGAAATGTACAATTTTTATATGATAAATGTATTGTACATTTCATATGACAGTGGAAATGGTCATGAGTTGATTTTCCCTTTTGCGGTTACTGATAGGCCATAGCACTAGGCTGGTTTAGAATTGTCAAACTTGGGTGGAACCTTAGATGGAAAGCTGCTGTGTGGCATTATTAGTTTAGTGTATTGGAAGCTTTTTGTAGGAATATTGATGCGATGCACTCATATTAGGACATGTCGGAATGATCTATGTCTGGAAAGTAGGATTATAGTGAACGTGGAGTTTAATTCCACAGTTGTCTATGTAAAATTGTGAAAAGGCTAGTCATTTGGGTGGCATGGAAGTTGTACCCCCCCTCCCCGGTTATTTTTCAACCTTGAGTTTCTGCTGGTGGGTTTATGCGCTGCTTGTTTAACACACCATGCAAAGATATTCAAGTTGGTCTAACCCAGTTAGTTCAACTTTGAGTCTTTGCTGGTAGGTTTACATATTACAGTTTCACGAAACCATTCGGTATATGATTCGACTCCATACGTAGGCAAGAGTGGTGCCTGTATCCAGCCTGAGTTCTCCTCATAACTGCATAGTGTAGGCCACTGCCCTACTCATTCAATCTGACAAGGGTTAACTTTACTCACCGGTCTCAAAGTGTTCTTGTTGCACTGCTGGTCATTTATTTGCTTTTTCTTCAAACAATTTTCTCTATACCTGGATCCTTAGACAGATATTCTGAGTCTTTGCAACAAGGTTATGGCGAAACTAATCCAGCCCTTGTAATAATTAGGCTTCCCTCCAGTGTTGTGCTCACACAACTTCGACTTCATTGCATGCAGATCCTAGGAAATCCGGGCTTAAAGATGGAAGTTGAGGTTCCGGTAGATTAGGCAGAAGAATTTTGTATGGCATAACTCCCCAATCTATGCAGCATCATCTGCAACTCACGATCTTAAGGTAGGGGGGAATATGGAGCAGCCCAACTCTGTGCACAATCCACAACTCTGATTATGTAAACTTTTTTCCTTGCTTGTCAAGGTATCTGAATTTAGTGTCATCTTCTTCAACTCCATTGTTTCTGGGTTTCCTCCAACTAAGTTGATCTCTATTGTATGTCAATGGAGGGGAGGAGATTAGTTGTACAATTACCGGATTCTTATTGACCGACAAATTGTTGTAATTTCAGAACTTTGTGCTGCCACTGTGAAGTTCTATTCACAATCATGGCAGCCTTGTGGGCCTTAGTTTGGATGTTGTCTTTTTGGCAATAAATTCAGATTTCAGAAGTCCACAAGTCAGATCCATATGATTTATTGGCCTTCAGGCAACGGTTGGAAGTGCCCTTTCTCTTTGACATACTTATTGAAAACGTAAAAATATTTATAAAACAACCTTTTATACAAAAAAACGTAATAATAACTAAGTTAGTTAGCACTTCAATCTGAAGGAGAATTAAACTGTTCAATCTGTTTTTCCTTCAAAAAAATTTCCCCAACCATAAAAACAAAAAAGAAATCTTTCTTCCCCTGTTTTCATACTGATTTCTTAGCTATCAATTTTCTTTTTCTTTTGTTTTTGGCATGGTGAAGATTCGGAGTTGGTGTAATTGATCTAGACTAAATAATCTCTTGACCATGGCTGAAACCCACCATGCCCTGTTGCTGCCAGAGGCAGATGCAGTTAGTCTAAGAGAAGCACTCCACGGGCAGCAGCAGATCCTGCAGAAGCTGTACCGCGAACTGGACGTGGAAAGGGAAGCTGCTGCAACTGCAGCTAGTGAAGCCATGTCCATGATCCTGCGCCTGCAAGGAGAGAAGGATGCATTGAAGATGGAAGCCAACCAATACAAGAGAATGGCCGAGGAAAAAATGTGCCACGCGGAGGAGACGCTGGAACTCTGCGACGATCTGATGTACCAGAAAGAGATGGAGATTGCATCCCTCGAGTTCCAGCTTCAGTCTTACAGGAACAGGTTTGTCAGCATGGGACCTAACGATGCTCCAGACCTCGATCTTTCGCCCCACAAAAGCGACACTCTGAAAGGGGAAAAGGGTGGTGGTGTCAGGAGGCTCAACTCGTTGCCTCAGCTTGCATTGATGGATACTATCCATAAGAGAGTAGGGTTTGACAGGAAACAAGTTGCCTCACCTAGCACAGCTACTATCGACGAGGAATCTGAATTTCAAGAGATTCATGAGTTGGAGAAGAAGTTCGTGGCGGGTCATACTGCTGGAGACTTAAATTCGTACTGGGAACATATCAAGAAATTGGACGAATGACTGAAAGAGAAGTCGGATGGAAGCAGCAAAGATCATACTAGCAAACACAAGTCTGCACTTTGGAGAGGTGGGACTTGGTCTCATTCGTCATACTCACAACTTACTGAAGGAAACAACGGTAATAGTGGTGGCGAGAACTCACATGCACCTTCCAATAATTGTATGGCTGACAATCTCGAGAGTCAAAAAAGCCTTGTGAACATCAGAAGAAAGATAGTCGAAAACATCATGTGGAAGGTAGTAATGAGTTTCATAAACAAGACATATCATCAGGAGAGCAAGTGAAGGTAGTGTCGCATTGTTCTTCAAGCAACGAGAAGAAGAAAGCACCCAAAGACGCACCACTTGTTGACCATGGACATGGTGGTTTGCCTCTGTTATTCAGCTATGAGACCAGATTCATATCCTCAACAGAATGGATTGAATGAAAGAGACTAGACTTTATTTAATTTTCAACTTTCAAAGGGAAGCGAGCAGCCAAACTCGGATACAGATGATCTGAGTTTAATTGTCTAGATCACTACTCAATCTAAAACAAGGGACAAGATAGAGAAAGATTAAACAGAAGCCATGCCCAGATAACTTGAGTTCCTGGCCACCGCCCCAACTCAGTTATCCAGACACGAGACCCGAACCCAAACCTAAAACTTCCAGAGAACAAACCCTGTTCTAACCAAGTCTAGGAAACTGTCACCTTTCTCTTTGGCAGGAGCAGTCTTTATATAGGCGGAGAGGCTCCCATCCTTGTCTCTTCCATCATCAATGAACTCGACCGTTTATTCTTGAAGAGAAGAGCAGAAGCGCGATTCCCAGTCACCCTCTTTCATGGAGTCAATTGATTTCTCTGATGGAGAATGGAGGCGATGACGCTTTAGGGATCTTGACTCTCTTTGACTTTCAGTGTGTCCGGTGGGCTTACGTTTCTCATTGGGCTTCTTTGGCTCGTGGATCTCGGAGAGTCATGGCCCAACAATCTCCCCCTGCGTTCAAGCCTCCGATTCTGCACACATATTTATTTAAAGCGAGTTTCTGCAGATCATCCATAGATATTTGTTCATAGAGAGGATTTAACATAAAAACATAGATCATTATGATCTTTTACTCATAATACTTGAAATAGACATTTAAGGACAGAAAGCATAAGACCATAGACCATTATGGTCTTTGAGTCCATCAAACATAATCATAAGACCATTATGGTCCGAAACACATCACACTTATTCTAAGCAGATTATTGATCCCTTTATTTAGTTCAAATTTCTTGGAGATGAGGACAACTCTTTAGTATCTTCTTAAACTTCATTCGACAGCCTTCTGTGTCTCGCTCTTGCTTTGAATCTCCCCCTGAGTTTCAGCTACTTCATTCATGTCATTCTCTTCCTGAACAGCAGCTTCACCTTCCATAAGGTCTCTTTCGAGGTCCTCGGCAAACAGTCTGATGTCCTTTTCAGAAAGGGATTCAGTAGCTGGTTCAGCTTCTTCCTCATCAAAGGATATGATTAGGTTTCTACACACAGAGGAGGATTCCCCAAGTTTCAGGAGTTTGGTCATGGACTTAGTGGGGTGTTTGGATGGTTTGGTTTTCCTTCCTGCAGGATCTCCCCCTTTCGAAGGCTGAGGATCAATACTAATGAACCTGTGAGCAGTAATGGCATGGATGGAAACAGATTTGTCGATGGTTGAGAAACCGTCGAGAGAGATGCCAAGGTTGGATATGAGAAGAGTGATGAGACCTCCATATGGAAGGCATCCACTAGCATGAGTATCAGCACTTCGAACAAGGGAACCAAACAACAGGGGGGGTATAATCTATTTTTCGCCCAGTGAGGGCATTGGATAGAATCCACAGGTCAATTTTTGTGACAATATGGTGGTCATGGCTGCGAGGAAGGAACAGATGGGTAATGAAATAATGAAGAGTGCAAAGGGATGGGTTTAGGTCAGCTGAGGTGATGACTTCATGGGCGCCTACAGTACGCTGAGTGATTCTAGAAAACTCAATGACATGATCGAATTCATAGAATAAGAATTCGTCTTCATGGGCCAGAGACAGAGGTACTCCAGAAGGAAGATTCAGAAGGATTCCAATAGCTTCAGATGTCAGGGAGATGAAGTAGCCATTGACCAGAGTGGTGAATTTTCGAGTGATAATACCCTGACAATTCAGATTGGCATAAAACGTTCGAACAGGAAGAGGACAAGCAGTAAGGGGAGGGTAATGAAGTAGAAATTCCCATCCCAAGTTTCGAATATGTGGAGTAACATCGATCCCTTGATTCTTGAAATCATATAGATCAAGTGATATGGGATCAGACAGGGGACGAGTTGCATAGAACTCTTTGAATCAATGCAGATTAAAGTCTATAGGATCGTTGAAGGTTCTACCTACGTATGTGACAACAGCTCCAGGAATGTTTGAGGAAGTAAAAAGATCAGTCATGATGGGATTTCCTATTGATGGCTAGCTATGATGAAATGAAGTAGAAGAAGTGTAGTATATATAGCTACTCAGAGTGCTTTGATAACAGCACATATAACAACCAGGAGATTGGAAAGACAAGGGTTTTTGAGAGTCGAAACATCACATACATGCACCAGCAATCAATTTAGTAGCAAAAGTAATTAAATCACACTATAAACAAGTAGTAATTAAATGCATAAATAAAGGAAGAACAGAACCTGGTTCATTGACTCCCTTGGATGGAGTGAAGAGACTGAAGACCCAGATCATCACACAATTTGAGAAATTGTTCTAATGAGAGTGCTTTGATAAAGATATCAGCAACTTGAAAGTCAGTCGATATAAAATTTAATTCAATATGACCAGCCTGTATAAGATCTCTAATGAAGTGATGTTTTATTTCAATGTGTTTAGTTCGACTGTGATGAACAGGATTTTTTGACATGCATATGGCACTCGTGTTATCACAAAAGATAGGTATTTGATTAACATTAACTCCATAGTCATTCAGTTGGGACTTTAACCACATAATTTGAGTGCAACAGCACCCAGCAGGCACATATTCAGCCTCAGCTGTGGACAGTGCTACTGAGCCTTGTTTTTTACTTGACCATGACACAAGTGATCTTCCAAAGAATTGACAAGTACCACTAGTACTTTTTCTGTCAGTAATGCTTCCAGCAAAATCAGAGTCAGAATAACCTACAAGGGTTGATGAATCAGACACAGGATACCATAATCCAAGATCACTAGACCCTTTCAAGTATCTGAAAATTCTTTTTACAGCTTTTAGGTGGCTTTCTTTTGGTTGATGTTGAAATCTTGCACAAAGACAGACACTGAATTGTATGTCAGGTCTGCTGGCTGTAAGATACAACAGAGAACCTATCATACCTCTATATCTTTTCTCACATACTGCAATTCCATTCAAGTCATAATCCAAGTGAGTATTTGATGCAATGGGAGTTTTGCTAGGTTTAATGCTTAACAGATCAAATTTGGTAAGCATGGAATGCAGATACTTAGTTTGATGAATGAATATGCCAAGGTTAGACTGATGGATTTGCAGTCCCAGAAAGAAGTTCAGTTCACCCATTAAGCTCATTTCAAACTTGTTTTGCATGATAGTACTGAATTCTTCACACATGCTAGGGTCAGTACTGCCAAAAACTATATCATCCACGTAGACTTGAACTATTAGGGAGTTATCATTTCATTTTTTAATAATAAGTGTTTTATCTACACCCCCTTGACAGAACCCTTGTGAAATTAAGAATGATGTCAGTTTCTCAAACCAAGCTCTAGGAGCTTGCTTGAGTCCATACAGGGCTTTAGATAGTTTGAAAACGTGATCAGGGTACTCACTGTCAATAAATCCAGGGGGTTGTTCAACATAAACATCCTCTTTTATTTCACCATTCAAGAATGCACTTTTTACGTCCATTTGAAATAATTTGATATTCATATAACTAGCATAAGCACACAGGAGTCTAATGGATTCTAAGCGTGCAACAGGGGCAAAAGTTTCATCATAATCTATACCCTCCTCTTGACTGTATCCTTGGGCAACAAGGCGAGCTTTGTTTTTGATTATGAATCCGAGTTCATCTGATTTGTTCCTAAATATCCATTTAGTTCCTATGATAGAAACACCTAAGGGTCGGGGGACTAGTTCCCATACCTTAAGTCTGATGAAATGTGACAGCTCTTCTTGCATGGCAAGAAACCACTCCTCATCAAGAATTGCTTCTTTAAAATTCTTAGGTTCAAACAGAGAAACGAAGGAATACTGACATGGGATATACTTACCTCGAGTGTGAATGGGATCTGAGAGGTGACCAATGATTAGTGAGGGAGGATGCCTCTTTCTTATGTGAGCAGGAGCTTCTTGGTTCTCATTTTGAGTTGCATCTTGTGTAGCAGAGTCAGGTTCAGTGGATGATTCAGTCTGTTCTGAGTTCAAATTTTCATTCCCCTTACTAATTTCTGCACTATCTTTCTCAAATAAAGAGGTTATAGGAAGGAAGTCATAATTGTTAATATCAGAAACCAAAGGGAGGCAGTGATGAGATGTGTCAAAGCGAATATGCACTGACTCTTCAACCTTTCTGGTTCTTTTATTGAAAACCCTATAGGCCTGGCCTTTGGATGAATATCCTAAGAAGATTCCTATATCAGATCTAGCATCAAACTTTCCAAGAGAGTCTTTAGTATTAAGAATGAAGCACTTAGTTCCAAATGGATGCAGGTAAGATATCTTAGGAGCTTTTCAACTTTAGAATTTCATAAGGGGTTTTGTTAACAGATTTACTAATGGTGGTTCGATTAATAACATAACAGGCAGTGTTAACTGCTTCTCCCCAAAGGTACTTAGGACAATCATACTCTAACAGCATGGTTCTCGCGGTTTCAATTAGAGATATATTCTTTCTCTCTACCACACCATTTTGCTGAGGAGTTCTAGGTGCAGAAAAGGTGTGGAGAATTCCCAATTCATCACAAAAATTACAGAAGTCATCATTTATGAATTCACCACCATTATCACTTCTAATTGTTCTCACACAGCTTCCATATTGATTCTGACAGAGTATCGCAAAATTTTTGAATTTCGAAAAAGCTTCATTCTTTGAGGAAAGAAAATGTACCCAGGTGAACCTTGAGAAGTCATCTACAATTACTAGAACATAAGATTTTCCACCTAGGCTTTGAACATTTGTGGGACCGAAAAGATCCATGTGCAGTAATTCAAACGTGGATTTAGTTGTAATATTTGGTTTGCTCTTAAAATATTTCTTACAATGTTTTCCTAGAATGCAGGCTTCACAAGTGAAGCCCTCTGATGCTTTTATGACAGGTAAGCCTCTAACCAGGTTTAACTTGGACAATTTGGCTAGTCTAGACATACTCAGGTGACCAAGTTTTCTGTGCCAGCTAATAGCAGAATCAGAAATAGATGTAAGGCAAATATTTTCAGGTAGGTCCAATGTTGCAAGATCTACAGTGTAAACATTGTTGACCTTTTTTCATTTGAAGATTAATGCATTATCAGAGATTCTTTCAATGATGCAGCTAAAAGGGTCAAAGATAACTCTATAAGTGGAGCCGCAAATTTGACTAATAGATAGAAGATTGTGTTTTAAGCCTTCTACAAATAGAACATCTTCAATTATAAGAGAAGAATTACTGCTAACAGTACCCTTACCAACTACTGAGGCACAATTATTATTTCCATAAAAAACTTTACCTCCCTTTTTAGGATTAAGAAAGGTGAACAGATCTTTATTACCAGTCATGTGATGGGAGCATTCAGAGTCTAGATACCAGACATTTGCTCCCTTATTATTCTGAAATGAAAAATAGTCTAGTTAGAAGATTTAACCACCCAAACAAGTTTGGGCTTGGCTTTTCTGACATAACATTTCTTATATTCATGGCCTGACTTACAGCAAAAGGAACAGTAGGGAGTGTTTTTCCAGTGATTTACATGATGTCTTAAGATCTGAGGGTTATAGTACTGTCTTGATCTAATTGTATAAAGATTACACTTGAGTAATCTGGGATTTCTGTTGATGATTTTATGACAATAATCAATTTCCCTTTTTAAGTTTGCATTTTCTGTAGAAAGATTGCTAACTTGAGTGTCCTGAGTACTTATAGCAGCCTGTTGAGTTTTTACAAGGTTTTTCAGTGTAAGATTTTCTTTTTCCTTCTCATGTAGTTGAGTCATGGTAAGGCATAATTTACTTTTTAGAAGATTGCATTCATTCTGAAGATTTGAAACAGCGTGTAGAAAGAAGTCATCATGTGACTCAGATATTGTATCAGAAGAGGATTCAGTCCATACCTTATTTTCTCGATGGTCATCATCCATGCTTGAACTTAAGCCCATGTAAGCTACAACATCTGATTCTTCTTCAGAGCTGTAGTCGCTCCAGGTGGCTGTCATTGCCTTCTCTTTCTTCTTGTTGAGAGGGCAGTTAGCCCTAATATGTCCTGTTTTTCCACATTTAAAGCAAATGGTGGAGTCAGTTTTATCATTAGAATTTCTGTTGTCTTTAGGACACGATTCTGTTCTGATGGATCCAAATGGGTTTTTGTCATTTGATCCACCTGGATTATGTCCTGCAGGCCTAGAGTAGTGATTAATCCCATTTCCAGAAGGTCTGGGAGAGAAGTTATTGTTATAGTTCCCCCTTCTAGAGTTCTGATCATGTTTGTACTTCATCATCCTTTGCAGTTTTTTGCTAGTTAATGCCAACTCATTCTCAAACTCATCATCTAATCTTTCTTCTTCATTATTGCATACTGTATTGAAAGCAATAGACTTATTCTTCTTGTCATGAAGTGAGTTCATTTGTTTCAAAACTTCCTCATGACTTAGAAGAGAGCCAATTCTCAAGGGATAACACATTGAGGTCCTTAGCTTCCTCTATGGCAGTTCTTTTGGCCATCCATTCGAGAGGAAGAGATCTAAGTACCTTTCTTACTAATTCTTTGCTTGAAAAATCTTTGCCTAATCCTTTAAGTCTATTGACTAAGGTGGAGAATCTCTTATCCATTTCTGAAATGGATTCTCCAAGTAACATGTCAAAGGTTTCATATTCCTTAAGCAACATATCAATTTTGGTTTCTTTAACTTCTGATGTTCCCTCGTGTGTTGTTTCAAGTATTGACCAAATTTCCTTTGCAGTTTCACATTTGTTTACCCTTTCTCCTTCATCTTCAGAGATAGCAGATAATAAGATATGCATAGCCCTAGAGTCTAGTTGAGCATTTTTCTTTTGTTCATCTGACCAATCCTCCTCATCATCCTCTTTCATGTCAATTGGTCCATTTCGGACAATTTCCCATAATTCACAATCGATTCCTCGGAGGAAAAGTCGCATCCTTTTTTTCCAAACTGAGTAATTTGAACTAGAAAACCATGGGGGATTGGAGCTAGTTGGGAATGAATTTGAGGCCATAGCAGGGCAGAGGATCTCCTTCTCGGCAACCTAAGGTTCGATCGAGAGGGAGGCTCTGATACCAATTGTTATTCAGCTATGAGACCAGATTCATATCCTCAACAGAATGGATTGAATGAAAGAGACTAGACTTTATTTAATTTTCAACTTTCAAAGGGAAGCGAGCAGCCAAACTCGGATACAGATGATCTGAGTTTAATTGTCTAGATCACTACTCAATCTAAAACAAGGGACAATATAGAGAAAGATTAAACAGAAGCCATTGCCAGATAACTTGAGTTCCTGGCCACCGCCCCAACTCAGTTATCCAGACACGAGACCCGAACCCAAACCTAAAACTTCCAGAGAACAAACCCTGTTCTAACCAAGTCTAGGAAACTGTCACCTTTCTCTTTGGCAGGAGCAGTCTTTATATAGGCGGAGAGGCTCCCATCCTTGTCTCTTCCATCATCAATGAACTCGACCGGTTATTCTTGAAGAGAAGAGCAGCAGCGCGATTCCCAGTCACCCTCTTTCATGGAGTCAATTGATTTCTCTGATGGAGAATGGAGGCGATGACGCTTTAGGGATCTTGACTCTCTTTCACTTTCAGTGTGTCCGGTGGGCTTGCGTTTCTCATTGGGCTTCTTTGGCTCGTGGATCTCGGAGAGTCATGGCCCAACAGCCTCTCCCCCTCATCACCATTTGGTCACACCATGCGATTACCAGAATCTGATGCGAAGAATCGAGAGGCTCGAGAGAGGGAGGAACAATGTGAGGCACTAGCAGCAGGAGGAGATTGGTTCTTGCGGCGGAGGGCAAACAGCAGAAGAAGAGATGCATCTGTTGAAGGCGATTCAAGAACAACTTGGCGGGATACAGACCGAACTCAGGAGTCGAAAAGCTCAGAAACCTATTATCCCAGTTGAACCGTGTCTTGATGTACTCCAGGAGGTATGGCTTCCCTCCCTATTTACTACAACTTGTTCTTTCCACTGGCAGGCAGGAAAACAGGAAGTTGTTAGCTAATGATGGGTTGTTTGTTTTCTGTATGTATGCACAGGCAATGTTATACTTATGGCTATAATGCAATCAAAGAGTTTCAATGCTACATTGTTACAAAAACATTACTACAGAGTGCAGTGTGAAGATAATGCTGCAGGAAATCGACTGTCACATTTTGATACAGAAGGCAAGGAGTTTGTATATTTGTTATTAGGCATTACCTTTTTCTGTATCCTTGTGCATATAGGATGTATGTGCCCTGTATCTCAATTTCGATCGGCACCTTTCTATGTACAGTTGTTGTTCTATCAAGTCATTTTCTTTTCCTGCTTCAAAATAAAGCTGGAAATGGTGGCCTCATCAATTGCCTGGTGTTATGCTCTATTGTCTTGTCCAAGGAAACTAATCAAATATGAGGGGCCAGAAAACTGTGGTCCATTTTACTAGTAGAAAAATAGAGAGTAGCTAGTACTATTCTTTGCCTGCCTACTAAATATCAGTGAATTTTGAAGCACACAGAAAGAGAGAAAACCCAACAATTAACGATGTACCGATCGAGCAAGACGCTAGTAGGGTTCCTGAACCTGTCAACGCTGTTAGCCTCGTTACCAATCATCGGGGCGTGGGGCTATGGATGGCGAGGAACAGCACCAACTGCAAGAGCTTCCTCCATGCGAGTCGCAGTAAGTTTCGTGCTTTATTTCACGTACACTACTCGTACAACATGGGTAACACTCATAAGAAACGGATTCGAATAATGACATATCAAGTTGAGCTGGTTATGTATTAGAGTCATCTCCCTTTCTCTTCAGAATGTGAAACCATTCTTAAAAGAAGTCTCAAAACGAATGCTAGAAAAATTCTTTCTTGTTATCAAGTTCAAGTCCGCAAAGAACATAATAATAATAATAATCTGTTTTAGACTTTCAACCACTTTTTGAAAATACGAACTTAGAAATATATAGTACCAACAATTAATATTTGATGTGATGATCGTTACCAACAACGTTGACTTTATCATAGTTTAGCTGAAATTCAAATAGGAATGCCATTGATTATTAAAAAGTGGAATGTGATTTTACTTAAAATAGTGAAAGAGATGATACACAAGGTTGATATTTTTGTAAATTTTTTAAAAAAGAGGATTTTACATTGATAAAATGGGTGTGTCTCTTTCAGTTTTAGATGCATTATTATATGCACATACTCTCATAATTCTTATTTTTACGATGTCCTAATACATTAATTATTTTTATTACTTTGAAAATCACACCGATCACTATTGTAAGGTCAAATTTTA